ACACGTGGGCGCGGGACAGTCCCGCTCATCATCGCCGGCGGGACAGTCCTGTTTGCCGTCACACCGCGCCCCACCACTTATACAACGTGCCGCCACACCATTGCTAGGGTCGCCAGAACATTTCCATTGTGACGACAAACACGTGAACTAAACACACATTCATATGATTTTTACTATAAATAAATGAGAAAAAGTAAATAATTTGCATGATTAGATTTGAAACGAAGTTAATATTCCTAATTAAAGTTAATATTGTCTCATTTTATATAAAGGAACGTATGATTTCGTTCTACATAAAAATACCATATACATAAACTAAAAAACGTATCCAGACAGAAAACAAGTATGATGAAATTTATTTATTTTGATGTTTTTACCATATGAAAGCTATTTTGAAAAATTGTACAGTACTTGAACATAATTAATCGGTAAACATAAACTGGGCAGGAGCTGCTCTATTCCATTATACTGCTTAGATGTGTTGGTCACCTTCGGAAATACGAAGTTAGTTGATATCCAGTATTCGTTTCGAAGTACTTATATGCACGTATTTTTTTCATTGAACGTGTGAAATGAAAAAACCAACAAATAAATAATAAGTTAACAGGTTCACCTTGTCGCAGTCTCGTTCATCGCTCCCGTCGACACAGTGCGGTACCCCATCGCAAATGTGCGCGGGATGCAGGCAGCGAGTGAGCACTTCATCTGTGTGGTTATCGCTAGCGCTAGGACCAGTGCCGCTAGTACTGCTAGTAGAGCTAGTGGTGTTGATGTCGTGGTGACTGGCGCCGCACTGGAATTGTCCGGGCGCGCATCTAAACTCCGGACACGACGCCGGCTCGTCTGAACCGTCGCCGCAATCATCCTAGCCGGACATCGTATATTTTATACAATTACAATATTTAACATCATCAGTTAATCAACGTCCCTCCGTCACAGCTGGGGCAAGAGTTTTTCTCTCGGAATACTATTCTAATGCTGATCCGATGAGAAAGAATAAGCAACTGACACATACCACAGCCAGGATCGACGATTTAATGAAGATTATAACTTCATCAAGTCATCCATCGGACGAACGATCACCACTTTAGTTGCTTAAATCCTCAATCGAATACTGATGCATCTTTGCATTATCGAACTTTTAATAATAATAACAATGCTCTTCAAACCACGTGATCACTCTGATGTTAACTGCGCTTTGAAATTTAGCCTTCTACGTGGACAACAACCATGAGAACCCTCATAAAAGCTAAAACAAGTGAACGTTATAGCTAAGTCGCCGCACCGAGAGAATTTCGTACAATGACCCGGCATTACGAATCTCTTTCACTCGTGCGCAAACATATTGCTATTGCGTTTTCTTGGATGCAACAAATTTGGATAAATCCAAATTTGTCATAGTAGTGATAAGTTCGTGAGGGAGTGATTGAGTTACGTAGCGGATAAGCGCCGCAGCCCCCGATCGTTACAGTTAAGCAACTTGGTCACGGGATTGTTGACCAAAAATTATTATCTCCAACTACTCCGTGCTTCGGAAGGCACGTAAAGCCCTCGGTCCCGGCTACATTTGCAGTCGTTATTACCCTCCTATCCGCATTGATCCAGCATCCTTAACTATCCATAAGGAAGACCTGCACCCCTACAATGGGAACGTAACGTATGAAGTGAACCTGAAGTAGGCACCAGGGCAACATACGAAATAAGGTAATTGATTAATTTTGAAAAATAGTTTTATATTAATCTTTAATACACCATAAGCTTATTACATTAATATTTCGGGGAAATACCTATACTTTATTTGTCAATAAAAATCAAAGTTAAAGTTTAAATTTTTGAAACCGCGTCTAAAACTGTATCTGTCATAGGCAAGTAAATAAACAAACCTCATAGAACTAAAATCGTCAACAGGAAGCCATATTTACTAGCGTGTGACGTCATCGGAGTAGCCAACACAAAGCGTTGTCGTCTCGGATAAAATGTCAAAAAAATATTTAATACAGTGACCACAATTTTTAATATTGTCAAATACTCTATTCTCTCTGCTCGGCGATCGTGTAACATGTGTGAGAGGTACCTGTGTATCGCACCGCCACCAGAAAGGTATACACTTGAGCTTGGTCCGGCACACGAAGTGGGCGGCGGTGCAGTTGGGCGTGCACGTGCGGCCGTCACTAGCTAGCGCCCAGTGCTCCGGGCACGCGCACGCGGCACTAGCGCCCGCCCACTCGCGCACGGAACCGCGCCTCCACCACTCGCTCACTCCAGGCCGTAGAAGGCACAGCCCCGAACAGTTCAACTTGGCGCATAACGCAGACACTTCTGCACACACACGATAATGTCTCTACTAATCTCATTTAAATAATCGGTGGCCACACTGGTGATTTATTTACACTGAAAACCACTACAATTCTGGGGAACGGTTTTTTTTATAGATAGGGTAATTCAAAAGGAAGGTTTTATGTATAATACAAGACCATGCAGGCGAACCCGCTGGCGGAAAGCTAGTATATCTATAAAATGAAAATATTTTAAAAAATGTCAGAAAAAGTAGAATTCATGATCATTTTTTAAAATTTTAATCGATCTTTTAAGTATCACCGATGACTTATTTATCACCATCGATCGCAAAAAGAAAACATGATGAATGTGTACCTGGATTTGGTGGTTGTCTCGCCGGATGGTGAATGCGCAGATCCATGGGTTTGTGTATAGCGCGCGCTATAGTACGGCATTGCAAAGCCCCGCCCTCCGATAATACCGCGCTAGAGTTACCTTCCTGTATAATATAATAAAGACAAACTAAGGATAAATGTCATGTCCGAATATTAAATTACGAAACAAAAACAAAGACTGACAGTTGTTTCACGTGAAGCTGGCTGTATTATGATGACGCAAAGTGCCATTAAAGTTAAGAAGAAGAAGTGTCCGAATATCAAATTACGAAACAAAAACAAAGACTGACAGTTGTTTCACGTGAAGTTGGCAGTATTGTAGTACCGCAAAGTGCCATTAAAGTTAAGAAGAAGAAGAAGAAGCATGTGCTTTGTCTTCCTCTATTATTAGCTCGTTGAAATAGCAGTGTCCTTTTCTGTTTTACAGGCAGCTGCAAATAATTTCGTTACTTAGACGCTGATGTTTAGCATTCGCAAAAGTTTCGCAGGGTTTCGCTTTCGAAAGCGAATGCATCGGTGTACTAACAGTGTAATTATTATCATATTATCTCAACTCGCTACTCTTATACTATATAAATATTAAATGTAGTGAATATATAGGCAACACTTGGGGCCCACGTACAGTGTAATGTTTCATGGGCCGGCGGCGACATGACTCTATGGCGCCCGTCTCCCAGTCGCTCCAGTACACGCGGCCTTCCCACACACCCAGCGCGAACACGTGGTACAAGCGGAGCCACGGCATGTGATCTGAATACAAGATGGACACGGACCATTCAGGTATATAAAGGAAAACACCGATAAGTGTGTATAATAATAATTTTATGGGTGTGTAATTATCAGCATCTCAATTAGTGTTCAATAAATGTTGTATTTTTTCATCTAGTTTTAATTATTCTCTTTCTCTTTCATTCTTCCCATCAAGTAGACTATTGGCTGAATTTCACGTGATAAAGTAGATAAGTACGAGTAGATTTATCGGAAACAAAGGAATCGACACATAATTCGGAGAATAAAAGAGGGAAATAATTAGAAATCATATCCAAAAAGTTTCCGTCCAATAATGAACAGTATCTAGGCGATGATAGCTACGAATTAAGAAAAATACAAAAGGAATATGAAACGTGATAACAAACGGCCTGGGCCTAAATTCTGCTATATTTTTACATAATAATCGCATCTCTCATCAAAACTTGCATTTTGCCGTTGTACTATCTACCTCAAGTCAAATATTATTAGTGCTATTTCTTCCACATAAATTAATGGTGACAGATATATTTACTATTTTGTGATCTAGTAACAAGAACTGTGTCATAGAGGGTTGTAATTGAAGCACTATTGACTTTCCATAACTACGGTAACATTAGCAGAATTGCCCTACTGACCCCTGGAGAACAGGATCCTGAGATGATTTCCGTCGAGGTCGGCGACCGCGATGTAGTCTTCGCGGGCGTCCGCGAAGTACAGCTCGTCGGTGGCGTAGGAGATGGTGATGGCGTTGGGCCACGCGAGCCCCGCCCCCACCACGACGGCCCGCCCGCTACCGTCCATGCCTGCGCGGCCGATGTGCGCCCCCGCCCCCCAGTCCGACCAGAACAGCAGACCGCGGTGCACGTGCAGCGCGAGCGCGCGCGGCTCCCGCAGCCGGCCCCGCACCACCACCAGCCGGTGGGAGCCGTCCAGACGCGACACCTCGATCGTGTCCGTGCCCTTGTCGCACCAGTACAGGTTGCCACCCGCCCAGTCCACCGCCAGCCCGTCCGGGTTCTGTAGCGTCGCGCCATGCAGCAGCTGAACATACCACCGCACATGTACTGTCGTGCCACAATGGATAGAATTGGAAGCCGATATCCAAAGCTTAAGAAATCAGCGAACCTGTGATAAATGCCAAAAAAATACAAATATGTGAAGACAGTGCCTTGTGGCATTCGATACCGTATGACAATTTTGTACGTTTCCAGCTGTGCACTTAAATAGATCTTGCGTGACATTTGCGACTTATAAGATTGATATCGTCACCTTAACGGAATCCGAGAAATTCCTCCAACCACGTTTTTTTTTGTTCTGTATCAAAAGTATACTTTCATACTCAATGAATGTATGAATATTTGCCATCTGTAGGGAGTTTAAAATATTAATCTGTAGGGAGCTTAAATAGTAATTTAAAATATTTTGTAAGCAATTATGTAATTAGCTACCAAAGTATAATAAAATAAAATATATTTTTATACACACTTGATAAAATAGATCTAGATTTATTTAAGGTTTTTTTTTTATTCTGAAGGAAGAAGACTTATCCTTTCAGATTCCTAAAGAGACGTTACATTGTCAAATAAGTAGTTTGTATTCGCTCACCTGATAGGGCGCGGGCGTGAGCGGGGCGGTGGCGGAGACGGGGGCAGGTGCGGGCGGTAGTCGGCAGGCGCGACGGATGGTGGAAGCGAGTCGTGTGACGTCACTCCAGTAGAGGCAGCCACGGGCGTAGTCCATGTCCAGTGCCACCGCGTTACTCATGTTGTGGGCTAACACCTCAGTGGCGCCCCCATCCAGACCCACGCGACGGATGTAGTACCGGTTCGTGAACAGCAGCGACGCCTTCACCGCTGCCTCCCCACACCCACCAACATTTTAATTCATATTTCAAGAGTAATTTCAATTATACAATGTCTTCAGTAAAATAAGAACAAATATTAATCGACTAATACATAAGTAAAACTAAAATAATGAAAGTAATCCAATTTTATCTTTTCCGTCAGTAAGAATATGGTGTCTGTCAGTATTTTCCTTGTTTTTATATTTTATAAGGAGACAACTCACGTGATGTCGACGCACAAGTGACTCCATCTTCCATGAGCCGGTAACCTTCTGCGCAGTAGCAAGTGAAACTGCCGAGTGTATTCCTAAAGAAAGAAACATATAAATAAGAAACAAATACTTTGGTTTAGAGCCATTAAATCGCAAGATTGTCTTATCGAGTAAAAAAATTAAGATTAGTATTCCCATCTGCGTTTAACGTAACCTCAAACACGATCGGTTTCTGAATTGAGAATTTAAAGTTAAGCGCGTTTCAAATCGTCCTTAAACTTTCTTAAACGTAACTTGAAACAGATTTTTATTTCTTATTTTAATTTTTTAAATGATCACTTAAATGTTGTTTGATAAAACTAGGACTTTCTGGCACGTGAAACGTAAAAAACATAAGTTATTGAGAATAATCAGATGAGATTTTGTACTATTCTCAATTCAGAAATCCGCCGATAATTATAAGTGACCTGCAGTGATGGTCGCAGGGCTGATCCTCCGCGCACTCGTCCACGTCCACGCACGTGTCGTGAGAGTGGTGGGGGACGGGGTAGGGCAGATGCGTGACGTCACGCCTCCATCCCCGGCGGCACCAGCAGGCGCGGCCCACAATCAGATTCGTGCAGTTGTGCGCGCATCCACCGTTGAACACCAAGCACTCGTCCACGTCTACATAACGCACAATTTATTTTTATTATCATTCTACCATGCCTAATAACCATTGTATACTAATACAGGGTTTTCTTTCTTTGAAGATGATAAACAAAGATTATAAGTACCGTCTAATTTAACTAAATCCAGCCGAACATCCAGCAAACCCAGGAAAAACAAGTATATATCAGAATAGGGGCTATCCAATGCCTATAAATTACATCACGACTCTTTAACCTCCCAGCCTAACTAATTGGAATTCTCTTCCAGAGAATCAAGAAAGCTCGTTCACTCAACTCCTTCAGTTATCAGGTTAAAAGTATTTTTTTCTTTTTTTCTTTAGACACTTTTCTTTATTTAATATATTATTATCCTATTAAAAATGTTTCATCATTTTCTATATTTATTTTAAGGTGTGTGCAATATTTATGTATTTATCCTTACAAACATTACACCCACTCCCTCATAGTATCCCTATCGTCAAAAATTCCTTTTTTCACCACAGTTTGCCTGGAAGAGATTGCTGTTTAGCAATAAAGCCGCCTTTTGCGTACTGCTTCTCTTAAAAGTGTATTTTTGTATTTCTTTTAAACTGTGTTATTCTGAATTAATAAAGCGTTTATTGTTATTTAAGAACAAAAAATTCAAACATTTTTATTTTATGGTGGTGTAGTATATCTATATGCATGTATATAGCGAGCGTAACTGACTGCATCTATTCTCGTCGCTGTAATCGCCGCAGTCGTTGTCACCGTCACAGAGCGTGCTGGGGGGAACGCACGCGCCGTTCCTGCACCGCCACTGCCCGCGCTCGCACGCGGCCACATCCAACGCCACGCCCGTCACGCTCTCCACGCCCTCTCCGCCTTCCATGGATGACCAGTACGTACCTGTGCTCAACATACAATACTCTCGTTGTCCTTATTACCTCTTACACACAGCGGCACATATGACCGAATGCAATCAATTTCGAATCTTACTGATCAATAGATGAAGGCTTAAAATCGTTCGGAGTTCACCTAATATGATGTCTTGCCTTATAGTTATATTGATTATTAATTTAACTGAATTACGGAAATGGCAACGATTTTCATGACATTTAGAATATAGTTTTAGGGCGATAAATTGATCTAGCTAAGTTTTTTAATTACGAAAATAAATACTAAGGAAAACTTCGTTATCCAGGTAAATTATATTATACAATATATGTCACACATAACAAACAAGCTCCAAAACAAAAAAGCAAACATTCTTTGGAAGAGCGGACTATTTCTGTTACATTAATTGCTGTATTTAAAAGAAATTTACCATTACAAAAGATACAAGCGTAATCTGGTTTTGATATAAATATTTGCATTAATAAAGCGTGCTAGTGTACTGTTACTGACTGCACATCTCCGGTTCCTCATCGCTTCCGGCACCGCTTCCGCCATCGTCCTCGCAGTGGTTCCGTCCGTCACACACCAGTTCCGGCGGTATACACCGCCCCGCGCAGTACACCGCGCCGTTCACATCCGCGCACAGTGGGTGATCTGACCCCACACCCTCTCGCCTGCCTCCACCCCGCACTGGAGAACAACCCGGCGGCTCATCTGACCCGTCGTCGCAATCCTCTTCTCCATCGCAATATATGTCCTAACGTAAAACTGATCAATGATTCTATACTCGAGGTATGCGAGATCAATGATTCTATCATCATCATAAGCAATTTTACTTCCCTACTACTGGGGCTCAGGCTTTCTTTATGAATGGTTCAGAAGGATGGGCCGTGATCATACACGCTGGCCCAATGCGGATTGGAGAGTATAAACGACTGCAAATGCAACCGGGACCAACGTCTTAACGTGCCTTCCGAAGCATAAAAGTACTTTTTTGGACTCGTCACAGGAAAATAAACATTAATCACTGTGTGGAAACATCAATAAATGCTATCGAAGTAAAAAATGGCAAATCAATAATTCGCTAAGTAATATTTGAAATAAATAATTTAAATATTTAAATTACATGTATATTGATTGGTCAAAGTAATAACTTTTCCATTATAATTCTACACATGCTTGTTTATACACACTGTAAAGTTTTCCGTGAAAATACAACTAAAGATTACTTCCTTTCGATACAAAAGGATAGACCCAGATAATGTTTTTGATACACCCAGATAATGTTCATGTAAAGCCAAAGTGCCCACACAAACAGAACAGTTCACTTTATTCTTTATATAAAAGAGTAGACTAAACTGCTCTGATTGCACAAACGTGAAACGTAGTGAGTTAGTAGATCTCAGAAGTTGTTGTGACAATGATCTCCAAATAAGAATTTCGTAATGGTTGAAAGTTAATTTATTACTACATTATTATGTAGCTGTTATTTCATTCAAATATACTCACTTTTAACGGAATTTAACGGAACAAATGCATTTAGCAATTGTTAGAAGTTTGTTCCGTATCTCCGCCAACAGATATACCAGCGCTTGATCTCCACACTGGGTACTGAGTGGTAAATACCCCAAGTACTTCATCATACTGAAATATCAAGCTTTTGAAAGCTCTTGCAGATTTTTGTCTCGTGGTCTCAGTCTTGTATACACTGTGGTACAGACCTCTGGCAGACATGTCCCGGTGTCGTGACAGCGGAAGTAGCGCGGCTGGCAGTGACAGTCACGTTCGTCGTCCCCGCGCGGGCAGTCCACTTCGCCGTCGCAGCGCCGAGACAATGACACGCACGTGCGTCCGTCCCCACACGAGTACTCGCCCGCCCCGCAAGTCTGGTTACCCAGCTCACCTGACAATCGTCCTAATACTTGTTGTTAACATTGCGAAACGTAATACCCATGTTTGATTTACAGAGAGTTTTTATAAAACATGCAGAATTACAAAACGAACATCATAAACAACAATCTAATATTTTGATAAACACATACCTAATATTGTGATAGTTTATCACGAAAGCTACTGCTAAGTATTCATTTTAAAAAGTTCTAAAGTGGTAGCCAGCTGTTTGTATTTTGCTCTTTCTAAATTTTGTTTTAAAAGTATTTTCGACCGCATTTTGGGATCAATACTTTTAATGCGATTCTGGAATCTATCAAAGTATCGATACTAGATCATACGATGATTAAATCACGAGTAGAACTATATCGAGTTTGCTAAAGCATTTGCAGTGATATTTACAAAGTATATTAAAGCATCATATAAAATATTCAATTTTATGCTCTACAATAAATATCGATTATCAATATATCGGAAATTAACAATATCGCCGAAAAATATCGATTTTTTATAATGGATTATTTTTTCCAAGCCTACTCCGCAGGCTCATGAATTTTACGGATCGCGGACACAGCAGTGCACAAGCGTAAACACGTTTTTCATTGCCGACATCTACGGAATTTTACGAGAGAATAAAATTTCGGACAATGCACACGCTAGCATTACCTACATATGGCTTCACATATCGGACCGAAAAAATCGGACTGCCGGACCTGAAAATTCAGTGTAGTGCATAAATGCCCTAATAGATTTATTTGTAGAGCAGTTGTTCTGATACTAATACGCGTATATTCGAATGAGTTTTATATTAACTATCGAGGCATGTTAAGGCGTTATGCTGTAAATGTAAGTACTGAATAATGATAGGAAGTGTCCTCGCCTCTCCATTTCACGTAAGTTGCTACAGACTAATTCCATGCGTTCTATAATTACATATATAGACATACGACAAGGTGTGGCCTCGTCAGATCCATCGGCGCAGTCAAATCTTCCATCGCATCTCCACGAGATCGGAATACATTCAACTTCACCCCCCGCCCTTTCTCCACCCCCGCAACGGAACTGATCCTCGCCGCATATCGGAGACATCGTGTATGTTTCCATAGTCGTCGTAGTCGTCGTCCAATTACCTGAGGGTATTGATACTTTAGTCGATATTCCTACAGGAAAACAGCACAGCGAGACGAAAGTCTAACCTAAAATAAAGTGTCTTTGTAGGTTTTTATGAATAAGTACAATAAAGATCTCGGCCAACCAGCTATTTTGAATTTGTGACAGCAAAAGTTTAAATATAAATTTTACTCGAAACATAAATCAATGTGATTAAACTGAATACCCACACTTTTAATTCAATATGATATATTCAAGACAATTTCTTTTTTAGTCCTTCGAGCCGAATTCGATTCGGCATCATGTGTATCGAACAACGCAAACTTGCGAACGATATTTATATGTTTCTCATAAATCATGCTTACAAAAATTTATAACGGAGATTCAAAACGAGTAAAATTGATAAATCTGGAATGGTAAACAAAACGTTACCTCCGGGGCATTCGTTCTCGTCGCTGCCATCTGGGCAGTCTGCTATCCCGTCACACCGCCACGCTGGCAGATAGCAGTGCGGCGTAGCTTGGTCCCCCGCATGCGGGCAGGGCAGCGCGGCGGCGGAGAGCGCGACACACGCGAGGGCGCCGCACCCGCGCTCGTCCGACCAGTCCGCGCACCACGCCCTCCCATCGCAACGGGCGCTCGCCTCCACACATTCGCCCGATCCACACCTGACGTATATATCATTACTAATGTCTACTTGACAGTTATTAATTTGTTTATTTGAATAGGGCAACCAATAAGATACAAATTATCTATAGGAATACAGAACTTATAAAATGATCAATGCCAAATTTGGCCTAATTACCTATAGGTTAGGTTGCCACGGCAGGCAAATGTAGATATAAATAATGTAACAGTAACATTTTCAAATTATACATTAAATATAAAATAAATTGTTTTTGCAGGCATTTCAAATTAATGTTTTTTTTTTTTCATTCTTTATTTAATAACGCTTTTCTTGATATGATGAATGTGGTTTAATAATGATCATGTGAACAATTTCAATAGTTTTTCCAGAACAGTCAAGTAGCCAATACTGTCTCTATCCTAAGTATTTTCACACGATTTCAAGATATTTCTAACTGTTATGTATCACTATGGGATATTCTGATAGTGTTTCAAACATAAAGGAGTCAATGTTACATTAGTATATCTTATTATATAGGTATAGAGACCTGTATGATTGTGGCGGACAGTCGCAGCCCGCCTCGTCCGCGCCGTCATCGCAGTCCACGTGGCCGTCGCACCGTAGCGCCGCGGACACGCACCGCCCCCCGCCCCCGCACCGGATCGTGTCCGTCGGACACGCGCGCGATGCTGAACACACACACGTCACTAACATGACTCACATACGGACTTGTCTTGAATTTAGTACATATATTTACTTATTTAATCTTTATTGCCAAATTATAGCAAATGGCGGACTTAATGCCAGAGGCATTCTCTACCAGTCAACCGGTGAGGAAAAACAGAAAATTTGTAAGGCAGTGACAGGGATATTTATAATATAATACTTTTAAGTTATTATTATAGGATTTGCATTTCCGTCAAATTATCTTTAATAATACTCTCTTGGACATGATTGAAGATGTCACGACGATTTGTCAATATGAAAATCAGTCCTTATAATGTTTATTTTATCGATGTTTAATATTTACATAATCGGTTTGAATCAATTTGTTCAAAATGAACCCACGTGTCAATGTTGGCTATAAATATAAATGTCATTCTATACTGTCATTTTAAACAACGAAGTTAATGTTCTTCTAAGTTTCAGTCACGTGACTCACAGTTGAAAAAAAATATTTGAAATTTAGAATCTGTATCAGTAAACTTCTAAGATTACACATCACATACTTATAAACTTTTTTGTCTACAGTCAACTTGCGGATACTTAAAAATCAATTATAATAATATTATTATAGAACACGGTGTAAAATAAAACAATATCAAGTGATATGGCATGAAGGAGATGTTACTGACTGCAGTAGAAGAGATCCTCGTCACTGGCGTGCATCATGTCATCGCTACAGTGCGGCACACCGTCGCACACCAGATCGGGTGGCAAGCAGCCCCCCTCCGCGCACGCCCACCGCGGCCACACGCACGGCTCGCCTCCGTCCCCACCACCCACGTGCGGGGGCGGCACGCACGCGCGTCCGTCCACCGCGAGTACACGCGGGGCGGTGCAACCGCATTGCACGCGCCCCTCCACCACCGAACACAATTCCGCGCAACCGCCATTCAGGACACTACACAGGTCGACTGAACCTGTGACCAGATATTAAGTTCAGACACTCCCGCCCTCCCGACTAAAACGCTGTTAAAAAAAAAATCATACATTTTTTTTATTTATTATCCGATGTATATTATCCCTTTCGAAATTTCCAAACAATAAATTTTAGTTCCTAGCACAATTACATGTCGCTTAATCTGGACCTGGTAGTGTTCTACCAATTCACCCACAAATGACGTAATGCACTCTGATTGGTGTTTCGTTTGACGTGGATACAAAAAACACATACTGAAAAACTATAGTCTTGTTTATTGAATTAAAAATATAAATCATTATTATTTAACAAAATTATGTGACAAATAATCTTTAAACTTTAATATATTTTTAAAACGAAAACGATAATTTTTTTATCCGATCACTTTCCGATCCCCAATTACGTCGTGTACGTTAAATGGTCATTATAATTTGGTGGTACATACACTTGTATTCCTGCGGTTGGACAGCGATGATTCCCATGGGTCTGGGCACGTGTCCTCGCAGCGTGGTGACTGGTCCGCCGTCCTTCAGCATGCGGAACACGCCGTGCGATACCCAGTCCGTCCATACCACATAATCTCCGGACACGGTCAGCGCGAACGGATGCATCGTACTGCTGCGGGTTAACACCTGCACGCAGCATATATAAACATATACGTAAAAATGCACGCACACCACATAATGTCCGGTGCGATCAGCTTAGACACATGCTAAGGGAAATGAGGATACGATTAAATGATCATGGTTTATACAAATCCAAGAATAAGAATTTTCTCTCTTGATCGTTACACGTGTTTCTTATAATATCCATGTTAAGTAAATTAATTTTATGTTTCTTGAATAGCAAATGTTTATTTATTAATTAATTAGTTAAGGAACGAAATTAACTGTTTTGTTTCGTTTTGATGTTTCCGATTATAAATTCACAGAAATATGGGGAAATTGTTATCGCCATCTAGTCTTCAGTCTTTCGATATTTTTTTTTTAAATAGGTCCTTATTGACTATACTGCTGCAGCGACCAACTTTCTCGATAAACAGATTATTTACTTATTAAAGAAACTCTACTAAAACGTTTTTCTTGTTTCTTTGTAATAAATTAACACAAAAACAACTGGATCGATTCTAAAAATTTAGATCGATTCTAATAAAGTGTCATTATCAGCTAATAACACAGGAAATATTTTTATAAGACGGTTCGAGGTTAGAACAATCAGCTATTGTATATGTGGGATAGTGTACATACCACTCTGTGCGATCCGTCGAGATGCGCTTGTTCAATCTTGTCGAGCCTCGCATCGGCCCAGTACAGGCGTCGACGTATAATGTCTAGCGCCAGTGCGTTAGGCATCAGCACGCCCCCCGACACCACAACCTGTCGCCCTCCGCCCCCGCCCCCTGACCCCACGCCCATCCACGCGCGCTCAATGCACGGACGCTGCTCACGCCAGTTCGTCCAGTACACACGTCTACGTTCAATAATCTTATTTGAGTCTGTTGCTTAAGTATGGTTTTAGAATTTGTTTTTTTTGTAAGGCATGTTTACAATATGTTAAATAAACTAAAGGTTATATTTATCGTATTTTAGATTAATGTAAATTATTTTTTGTTTAAAATATAAATACGAATGTTATAAAGCTTAAGAGTTTGGTTGTACGGACTTATTTCAGGGACTAATGATTCGAATTAAAAATTGTTTTTTTGTTGAATAATAGTCCATTTACTGAGGAAGGTATATAAAACATCACGCGTAACTAATAGGAGTGGAACAGCAATGAAAAATGTTGCAAAACATTTCGAATCATTCTTATAATTTAATTTAAATCCGTTTCATCATAAATTATTAAAAAATACGTTTCTTTGGAGTCGTATTAGTATTTCGAAAATAGACGAAATTTCTTTTTCGGGGAAACAGAATAGGTATCATGTTAATTCGCTCGTAGGAGTAGTAACACACCTGTCGCAGGGGTCGACGTCGATGCCGCGTGGTCGATCGTCGTGTTGTAGAGTGACTATAGTGCGTGGCGTGTGCGGGCGGCGCTGCAGTAACGCGCGCAGATCAGCAGCGCGTACGGCAGCCGCGCTCGCGCACGTCCAGTACAGCGTGCCCGTTGTGCCGTCCACAGACATGCCCTCCACCGCGCCCACCTCTACAACATACATTGCTCACAATAAGTAGTCAATAGTTTTTTAGTTCTCGTATTTGGAAATTAATGGGAGAAGGGAGTTTCTGTGGGAGCTTGTAAGACTTTAACTTTTTTCATTAACGCTTTTCTCACCGTAAAAAAGAGCCAATGGAAAATAAAAACAAACTTGAGGTACTCAAATGAGTAAAGTATTTACTTATATAGGGAAAAGAGATCATAATATTGTGTGAGAATGTTGACAGATTAAGGTTTATTGGGAAAACTGTTGGATTGTGTTACTATGACAACACTATGTAGGTCATGTCAATGTATATTTAAATTGGTATGATTCACGTATGACTACATTTTTTCCACTTACAAAATTAAAAAAACGTGAAACATATGTTTGTAGATATAATAATAAAATGTTTATTTCAATATCACTAGGATTATTGGTGATTTTACAATATATCTGATGACGTTTACGATTCAATTCTTACGATGGCGCTTTTAAAATGTCATCTGTAACTTGTATAGACGTGAGGTACGCTAATGACACGCCTTTTCTCGCACGACAGCTCGACAGAGCGGTGACATCGGTTCACGTATGTATGTATATGTGTATGAATATACGTACGTTCGATGAGCGATCGATGGTCAGTGGCGTCGAAGCGAGCGGTGTGTATGGCGCCGCGCTGTATATCCGAGTAGAACAGCCGCGACTCATTGTACCAGTAAGCGAGCGCGATCGCGTTACGCATCAACTGTCTGCAAATCAACACACCATTCACTATTAATCCACCCCACTCTTAGGTTTAAATATTATCCTTAAATGTTTGCGAAAGTTATTAATCCGCGTTGTCCTATATTATACATATAAACCTTCTTCTTGAATCAGTTTTAATACAGTAGAACTCCAATTATCCGAATTAATGGGGACCGGGACCCATTCGGATAATCAAATATTCGGATAATCGGATTTTAAAAAAAAAAATTGCCATTGGAGAGAATAAAAGCTACGTTTTGATATTGCACTATTTTTTTATTGAATTAAATGAAAGAAACATGAAATTTTCACATGTTTTAAATATAAATAAAATGTACTTATGTACAAGTTTAGAAATAAAAATCATTGTTTTTTAAACATCTCCGTCAATGTAAGCTGTTTTGCGGTCTTCAACCGTTTTCGGGCAGCCAGGTCACGCATTCGCTTGACGGTGAGCAGTTGCAAGTGGTCACACTCGGGCTGACGCTCCATTCACTTCAAAGCAGTCTCGAGGCCGGCAAATGCTTCACTAGCTGATGGTCCAGCGTCTACTTCAACATCAGCAGAAAGTTCTTCTTCCACTTCCACTTCAACATCTTCTCTCACACTTACAACAATTTCATCGTCATTGAGAATTTGAAAACCAGGGTCAGACGTGTCACAAGCCATCCACTCTCCTACATCTTCAGCACTTACTTCTGTACAACCAGGAATTTTTACAATCATTTTTCTTATTTCCTCTAGTGACAACGCATCTTTATCATCATCATCCTCTCCATATTCTTGTTTCTCATTTTCTTCAGATTCTTTTTTTTTGTTCTTCTCAGACGGTAGGCCTTTCAGTTTATTCCACGCACGTCTTAGCGTCACTGCCGTAACCAAACTCCAAGGTTCCGCTACCATGTAACAGCAGTCCTTTAATTTTATTTTGCTATGATTTGCCAAAACCAATTCTTCATCTTCAGCACCTTCGTTCAGCAGTTTTCTCAGCAGTTGCCTTCTGTAATGGCGCTTCATTGTTTCAATAACAGACTGGTCCATGGGTTGCAGCAAACTTGTAACATTGGGAGGCAAAAACGTCGTTTTGAACTGCCCATTCTCTCTTTCCAACAGTTCTGCCGTAGGATGAGTGGGTGCGTTATCAACAATTAAAAGCACCTTACTGCCTTCTTTTCCCACCGATTTTTGGTGCTTTTTCACTTCAGGAATAAACACTTCATCATACCATTCGGTAAACAAAGCTGCAGTCATCCAGGCCTTGGGTTGACTTTTGTAGAAGAGTGGAAGTTTTTTTACGTTTTTAAATGCTCTTGGATTTCTTGATTTTCCTATCAAAAGAAGTGGCAGTTTATGATTTCCAGTGGAGTTGGCACAGTTAAGCACTGTAACACGTTCTTTACTGACCTTATGTCCAGGGGCACTAGATTCCCTTTTAGAAGCCAAAGTGGTTTTTGGTAATGCTTTCCAAACAAGGCCAGTTTCATCGGCATTATAAACAAACTCCGGATCATAGGATTCTGATGCAGTTTTAAATTTTTCAATAAAATTTTCAGCAGCTGCAGAGTCTGCTGAAAGCTTCTCACCAGCCAAATCTAACTCGCGTACACCATGCCTGAATTTAAAATTCCTTAGCCAGCCGTTACTAGCCTTAAAAGATGAATAACCAAGCTTTTCTGCAAAGATTTTGGCTTTTTCACAAAGGATTGGACCTGAAATCGGATTTCCCATAGAACGTTGCTGCAAAAACCATTTAAACACGGCATCTTCCAAATTTTTGTTGGTTGCTGTCTTCATTGTTTTCCTGGAGGAACTTCCATCTTCATTTTCAAGCACCGAAACAAAGTTTAAAAGTGTTGACTTACTGTTTTTAATGTCAGAAATTGTTGCTTGTCCAACACCATAAATCTCAGACAACTTCTTACCCGTTACACCTTTATCGAGTTGCTCTATAATTTTCAGTTTGTCCGCTAACGATAGCACAACACGTTTTCTTTTCGAAGCCATGGTATAAAAACAATACAGTATTGTACACGCACAAACAAAAGTAAGCCGTAGCGAAAGAGTAGCGTCCTCGAGCAAGGTCAATAGCACACTGGCTAATCAAAACAAACAATGACAGGTGCGCCGTGACTGCAATGCGCCGGAACTTGTCTTAACTTGCCGTTGTGCCTACACACGCGGGGGGAAGTCAGTGTAGGCACAACGGCAAGTTAAGACAAGTCAAGTCAAGACTTGACGCGCAAACACTGGCTTCGCGGGGGGGAGAATAATAGCGCACTTAGACTTTTTTTGGACAATTTTTTGTGATTCGGATAATCGGCGATTCGGATAGTCGGAGTTCGGATAATTGGAGTTCTACTGTATATAGATATTGAATCTGTTTTGTAATATAAAAGAGATCAGTCTACAGAAATCGGGAAGAGACTTTGTTTCATAATATATATAAATATAGAGTCAAAATAGTACAAAAAAAAAAAAAACTGGACAAAATGGCATACATTCACAGTAGTTTGTTACTGAGTAAATACAAAAAGAGGCTAGTATGCAATATATAAATTAGTATGTAAATATCATCACTTTATATGCTCACTTGTCTTGTATGGGCGGGTATGGTGAGTTGAAATCTCGCTCGTCGTTCACATGGATGCTGTCGATCTTAGTGACGCGCGAATACATCACGAACGTGTCGTACGCTGCAAAATAAACATAAACATACATTCCATAAACTTACAAATCATTAACATAGTCGGTGCAAAAAGAACCGTCGTGGGATTCAAGGGCGTTATGAACATTGTTTTTAAAAAACAAATCACTAACAAATTTCCATATTTTGATGCAGAATTAGATATTAATGTCAAATTACCAAATTATTTCTATTGGGCCTTTTTTGCCTGAGTGATTAAGCGGTGTAAGATAATAAACAAATAATAGTCTCAGCTAAAATTAAAGGCCGAGGGTCAATAGTTTGTTTTTCATCTAAAATCCAAAATAAAACAGCTACCCGTTTATTCATATTTTATATGCAGTTATCGTACTATATTAGGTATCATTAGCAATATAATTTATTTTAAAGTTTAGATGTTATTGTGTGCGTGCGTGTGTGTGTGCGTGCGTGCGTGTATGCGTGCGTGCGTGGGTGGGTGTGTAACGTACGTGTACAGGAGACGTTATTCGGTGCGAGTCGTCCGTGCGGACACACGCAGCGGTCCCACAGACACAGCCCCTCGCATTTATCCGCCCCGCCTGCACAATACCCACCGGACACCTCCACATTACTCATGATCTCTTTAGAAGAAATCGACTTATTTACTGTCTTGTTCGGCAATGTCTGATCACTGCGCGACCACACCTGCCGGAACATTGTATTGATAAAAACACACGTACAAATGATAATTAAACCTGGTATACAATAATAATGCCTAACCAGTATATCCTTCAGACTATCGCCGACGTTCTCGGCGAGCACGCGGTAATCTGATAGATTAGTGAGAGGCGCCACCAATACGCTCCCCTGGTGTAGTACCCTGGATGCGATAGAATATAATCAATATAAACATTGTTTCGAATTAACAGGTATTATATATTAGTATAGCAGTGCCGCAGCTGGTGTACAGCTAGCGTAGCAGTGTTATGTGATGTGTATAACTCTTACGAATTAACATGACACCTGAGGGCCTATTCTATTTGACCTAGAACAAAAAGTTGTAAAATTTCAAACCGTTGTTAGTATCAGAGGCAGTGTCAGAACCTACCTCCATTGTATTATAAATTTATCGAAGTTGCTTTATTTGGAGTCGTAATTTTGTTTTCGGGGAAATAAAATAGGTCTTAAATAAAAAAAATATACTTTCTCGGGTCGACAGTGTGATATTAGGGTATAGACAAAACATTTTCGAACTCGTCATGCTATGCGTGCTGGTGTTATATGGTGGTTAATAGTTTATATATATGTAGAGTAGTAGTATGTATACGCACGTGTCCAGCCAGTAAAGCTTTTGCTGGTGTACAGCTAGCGCGGCCGTGTTATGTCTGGCAGCGGAGACTCGCCGCTGTTGCGTGCCGTTGTACGACATACGCCACACGCTTCCCTCCCAGCTGTCCGCCCAATATACCTCTTCGTTCTAATCAATAAACACATGCGAAAATCAGAGTTATTCAGCTTATTATATTTATGAGCTAATCGTCGTTATGAGAAATTTAACAATCGTTTACAGCAGTGTCTCCTAACTTGTGGTCCGCGGTTTCCTGGGGTCTGCAAGCCGGAATCATACCTCAACAATAATATCAAAATAAAACCATTTCCCAACAAAAATTTAATTAAACTTTTTACATTCATAGTTTTGGTAAAAATATGACATTAAATAAAATTGTGGTAGCTGTGACCAACGCAAATTATCAGACAATTATCGAAATTAAGGCAAAATGACACGTGAAAGCTACAAGCAAATGTAATTTAATCTTATTTGATAAAAAGAAAAAAAAAGCCATTGGCTTTTTTTCGCCAGGTGGAACGGTCAATGAATGAAGTCTGTTAAATATCTAGATAAAGAGAACTTTCATTTAAACTGTCTGAGAAATATGGTTTTGAAATGATAATTATCAGTTTATTATTATTAAGTTTATTAGACTAAATATAAAAGGATTAATAAAATAATAGCATTAAATGTTGTTTCTATTTCAGGTAATATTTGTAGACGTCGTAAGTCGTAAATTGTAAACGTAAATAATAAACAATCTTCTTTCAGAGCAACGCAATTAAGTTTCATTTCCAAGAAATCCTATAAATCAATCTTATTATGTACGTTACAAATTATGTTTATAAACTTATTGTGTTACAGTATAGTGCTGTGCACCTGTGTGTCTAGTGCGATATCAGCGACGGCCGTGCCGTTGTAGAGCAGCGATCGCTGTGCCCCGTGCAGTCTCGCGCGCTGGATCCAGCCGCCGCCGGACATAAACACCCAGCCGCGCACCGCGTCCACACATAACGCTAAACCAAAACACAACGTCAAACAAGATACGTTTAATGGATTCAAATGAAAATGAATACTTAAAATGCTAAAAGTACACACACAAATTGTATTATAAAAATATTACTATGTATAGTTACAAAATCCAATTACCGGTCAGTTGCACAAAACGTCCATAATGGTTTAATGATGCTTTTGAGCTCTAATTAATATCAAATTTGTATCGGTAATGTCGCTTGAACTAATGAAAAGTTTATGAACGTTTGTGCAACTGGTTGTAAGAATTACATATGAGTTAATTATTATACGATCTCAAGAATTTAATACTTAAATTATTGTTAAACTTCTAATGGCTAGTACATACATGAGACGGCGGCGGGCGCTGTATCCAGCAGCACGTATCGCCTGGTGCCGTCCAGTCGCGCAGCTTCCACCACACCACGACGAGGATCTGACCACAACACGTTACCTCCCACCCAGTCCACCGCTATACCTATACACACCAACACGACAGCTTATCTATACTAATAATATAAAAATTTAAGATTTGGTTGTTTGTTTGTTTGCTTCGTATCGTATCGTTCTAGAGGAATTAAAAAAAATATTTTACCTAAGAGAAGGCCTGCATCGTCCATAAGGGGGCGTTATTGCTAATTTTGGGAAAAGCTGGTATAGATAACATGGACTGTAAATTACGCAGGTATCGTCGCGTGAAAACGGCTAGTTATGACTATATAACTACAAAATGACGACCAACGTAGTACATGGCAACGGTAACGTACCGGCCACGAGGTCGTATGGCTGGTCGATGGGCTCGTTCTGCTGCAGCAGCATCTGTCGACTGGTCCCGTCCCGCCTCACTCGCCACACTCGGCCCGCTTCACCATCCGACCAATACAACCATCCGCCCTCTGCATAACACACGTACACCGCGCTCTCTTAATATAAAACTACGACACTCTTAATCAGCCGACTTAGCTGACATACATCTCTCCATACCAGATCCCATGTAATCACCGTCCAATACTCCAAATAAGAACTATTCAGAGTATTTCAAAGCAATAATAGAGATTACTAAAATAATATCAATAATTCATATCGATGCGTATATATGTGCGAGTGCGTGTATTTCTTGTGAGTTTTTACGCTCTCTATACATAATAATTTTATACATAAAATTAAAAAAAGACAAATCGGGAATCAGTCTGTCAAATTAAGGGTTTTGAATTTCTATCTGCTGCATGTTATATTCTCATATTTATCTTTTTTTACAATTGGACATCCGAAACCATATTAAAGAATACATTAGATAGAAAAATTTAATCATATTCGCCATCTCCATACATTAATATCTTTATCGGGCGTAAAATTAATAGTAATCTAATGAGAAGACATTAAAAGAGCCGTCGGTCTGTCTATTATTATTTTAAAACGATATAAAATTTAACGACCATTCATAATGAATCCTACCGGCATGATAATCTATAGCGCTGGCCATGGTTAGCTGCGGGATGGGCGGCAGCGCGGACTCCGAAGTTTCGTCGGTCTCGATATCCTCAACAGTTTCGTCCACCTCGTCAGTCGCGTTCGTCTTGAGTGCGTCTGGATCCGCTGCCACGCCACGTACCTCCCAGCTCAACGAGTATACCACTATTTCGTCCACGGCTAATTAAAAATATTATTATTATATTTTTTAGTCTGGTTGTAGATTTACAATTAACTCGGTATAGTATAAATTACGTACGAACACAGTGGTCTCCTTGCAGCGTGTACCCAAGTGCGCAGCGGCACGTGGAGCGTGTGTTGGACAGAGACAGACACAGATGCTCACACGCTCGCGCACGCCGCGCGCACGCGCTCGTTATACGTGCTTGTACGCGCGGATCGTACACCAACAAAGATAACACGCCCTCTGTAAACACGTAATATAAGAAAAATATTATATGTCGCAAAGTAAAAATATCACTCTGGTCGTCGGGAGCATGCGATCATGATATCAAATAATAACTATTGATATTAGTTTTAATCTATTTCTAAAAGATTTACTTTGCAGTAATTCGAAAACTATAAGAGGTTTCGTAAATATTATTGATATATAAAAAACGAAGTAAGGATCAATAAACTATTATTTCGACAATTAATTTATATGTCTATTAATGAGGTCACACGGGTGTTGTATAGACAATGCTCCTGCGCATTATCAATTTGCTGGAGTCATACCTGCATCTCGTCCCCGCAGCAGCTCCCGTGGTTGCCGGCAGTGTGGCGGCTTGCACGCGCGCACAGATACCGTAGCAGCGTCCGCCCACACCACTTCTCCATTGTACACAGTCATGGCAGACGGACGACTGCCCCAACCTAGCGGCAACTGTACATAACACAATACTATACATGGCATATCTCGGATGGCCAGTGGGCTAATTGACTAATTTTGTAATCTATAGGAATCCCTTTCAACGTATCGCGATATATAGAAATATGTAACGTTTAAATTCACCATCGCTTTTGGAACAAATGATGATTTGAATGATCAAGAAACATTATAAAAATTGAACCCTTCGATAGATTGCAGTTAGCACTCAACTCTTTCGATTGACATTTCTCAATAGCTTTCAAAGTTAATTTTGCGAGTAACGCTCGCTTTAGACAATTCCAATTACTATTAAATTAACGATATCGTTTATTCAATTAACAAACAGTTGTAGGTCTTTCAAATATCAAGTTGAAAAGGATTACAAGAGATTTAAAATTAGACAATTAAGGCCCAGGACTCTGTGTTACGTGCACAACTTACCGTAGTGATGTTAGCATCGGTTCTGTTCAGGTCCAAGTACTGTATAGTGGCGGAGCCGCTGTTCACCCAGTACAAACGATTCGCCTCTACGTCCATTGTCATACCTGAGACGACAGAATATGATGATTGAAATTTGAACACTATACAGGGGTCTAAAGATATATTTTTTTAGATAAATTGTTTTTTTCGCTGTTCCCAAAACAACCAAAGGTTGAGCGAAATGATGGCTGGCCCTTGCGTTATGCGCTTAAACCGTTGCTGCTGTGTGGAGTGGACTGTGCTCTAGACTACTTATTCTTGTGGATTTCCTATCCATTATGCTTATGTATATTAAATTAGTATCAGTGAGCTTGACACAGCATGTGAATCGATAGACAAATCGAGTAATTTTTTTTTTAAATTTTCAAATGAAAAGTGACTTCATATTAAAGTTTTCTTTCTTCCTTTAAGAGTTTCGAGTTTCACAGATGCTCGTAACAGTAATAGACTAGAATAAATAATTTTGATTCGATTTGAATAGTCTAAAAAAACACACTTAACATGTCATTGAAAACTTATAAAAATTAAAATATTATATTTAAAAAAGATTCACGAACAATCGTATATACATAACAAAAATCTTTAATATGTATCAAACACAACTCTAGCAGGCCAATTCGCCTAATGTTTATATTCTGCATTTTGCCATTGTACAATCTACCTGAAGTCCAATATTATAGGTATATCCATCACTAGTGACGTGTGAAGAAGGCATTGCACTAATAATATTGGATTTTAGGCAGATACTACAGTTAGTATCTGCCTAAAATCAAATATTTGCCACTGGGCAAATTGCAAGTCGTTGAGATTCTATTGAGATGCGATTATTACGTAAACATTAGCAGAACTGACCTGTAGGTCATAGTTAATGAGTGGTTGTGGTAGTGACTGACTGATATAATACAACAGTGAGGTGTAGTATTTAAACATGGTGGATGTATACTGACTGGTGACGTCAGCTAGGTAGGGATCGTCCCGCGCGTGCTTGAGTACGACACGATTGCTACCATCCCCGTCCGCCCGCTCCAATCGCTCACCGCCCTCACCCCGCACCGCCCAGTACAACTTGCCTCTAAGTATAACAAACTATATGTTCACTTCGGTATATAATATATCTAAGACTACATCACATACATTGCTGAGATTCAAAGAAGAGTATCTAAAGCCCCCGTATTATGGAGTATCTGAGACAACGAATGCACCACAACACCCAGATCTGACACAAAATACAAAAGTCCATTTTCTGTATTAGGTATCGAACCTGGAACCTCAGAAGGCGAAACCTTGAAACTGGCGTGCGAATTACGCGGCTACGGAGGTCGTGATGTGAACAGTATCGTTGGGCTCAGCTACTTCTCTAATATTCGTATCAATTTTAGTAAGAACTTCGATTGTTTGAGATACGATATTTACATTTGAATTAGAGTTAAGAAAGAAAGACTATACGGCGTACCGAGCTCCATGACACCGGACACTATACTAATTATATTGACTGCGTCATCTTTGTCGAAAAGTCGGTCAAAATAAAGTAACAAAATAAATAAAGTAACATTGCCTAATGTCATATTGTAAATATTGTATGGTATGAATATAGTAACAAACGCGTCGTATTCCGCACTAACCTGAGTGGGTCGACGGCTATAGCATGCGGAGTGTTGATACGCAGCAATCGGACGGGGCGGTGTCCGTTCAAGTCCGCGGCCCACAGCGCGCCCCCCGCGTGGTAGTACAACGCCCCCGCCCCCACACAAGCCGCCCCAACTCCCTCTGCCACAACGCGAGCCGCCCCGCCCCGCACGTCCAGCAATAGAAGCTCGCTAGTCTGTACGATAAAATATACTATTTTCAGCCGTTTATATGAAATCAGTCATTCCCTCTATATATTAACATTATCTTTATTTGTAGGGAAAGATGATCCTTTGCTTTTGAATACTCATGTAAAATCTATCTATGTAAAAATATGTAACTTCAACTTCACGGAATATGTAATTCGTGAATAAACGCATACTTCAAGTGAGATATAACTGATGTATCAGAATAGAAGATTGTCGAAACGCGGCAAATGACGGACAATGAAAGAGATTCAAGTGTTGCGTTTGACTACGGTAACTGCGAGTAAAACCGATACTCGAAGCGGATGTATTTTACGTCTTTTAGATATTAATAAAGACTATAATTTGGATCATACCTTCGATTATCATCGGGATTGGTAGGTTTGCGCAAACGAAGATTAACAATGAAAGAAAGAAAAGTGATTTATCATAAATGATAATGCGCCAAATGAGTTAAAACGTACTGGTACATATGTTTAAAAAGTTTGTGATATATGTACATAGTGTAGGTCTTTCTCTTACCTTATAGATTTTTTTAATAAATGTTGCAATTTATCGATATTGAAAAAGGCGATTAATAAATTGTACCGAATTACGATTTTTTATGATGGTAGGATGTTTTTGTGACCATCAATATAAATGTCTGTGTTCTTAAGCCTGTTTTATTTGTGTTTCTTGAAAACCCCATAAAAATTGTGTATATAGTCATAAGCGCATTTGTAAATTAAACGATCGACCTTAATAGGTATTTAATTTAAATGTCACGTGGTGGTACGTATGGGACTCACGTCGGCGTCGACGAGGTACAGGTTCTGAGTGGGCGTGTGCGCGTGCAGATGCGTGGGCGCCCGCAGTAGCGGCGCGGTGCGTGCGGGCGCCAGCGTGCGGGCCGGCGCCTCCCACTCCACGCCGCGTAGCGACTCACGCCGACCGATCAATAACACCACCTCGTGCGCTTCACCATACAAAATCAAACGGTGAACGCAGACTGCAGTAAGTAACTGTCTACCCACACACGTCTACAATCAAAAACCGCTCTTCTAGCTGGTTTACATGTATTATATTGAGAAATATTTAACTAAATTGTTAACTTTTAACGTACGTGCTAACTATTTAACGTACTTAGTCACTTAAAATTAAGTTAACAATTAAGTTTACTACTTATCCACGTAATACGTGTAAACCAGTTATTAGACAGAGGGAGCGGGAAGGAGCTAGTCTTCGGCAAGAGAGGTGCCTCGCAAGAGCGAGCGACGCTCCGCGCCAGCATTGTCGTTTTTTTTAATACCTTAAGCGAAGGATGTAACGCTAGAATTTCATGAAAAAATGCATTTTTTTTGTCCAGATTACATGTTTCAATGTTGCGGTCCTTCAAGTGGGATTTGAATCAAGGACCTAGAGATACCTGGATTAACATATCGACGAGTTGATATTGGGCGTTCATTAAATAAGAAAATATATATTTTGATTATATTAATAAAAAAGGCTGTGAAATATCTTCTTCAGAATGAAATAAAGTTTGTTATTGTATGCGTTCGAGGTATGAATGACTAGCTTTTCGCCAGCGGCTTCGCCCATGTGGTTTTCAATGCTGCGCCACTCCTAGTCTTTAACCTCCCTCAATAAATGGACTATTCAATGAAAAAAATATTTTTTTTTATTCAAACCAGTAGTTTCTGGGGTAAGCGCGTTAACCAAACAAACAAACATACTCTTCCGATTTATAATATTGGTGTAGTACTCACGTTCGCAGGTGGTATCGTTGGCGAGTCGCATGAGGTGCGGACATGCGCAGACGCGTGTCTGCGGGGAGTCGATCAGACAGAGATGGGAACAGTTGCCGTTGCTCTCACACGGGTTATATTTCGCCGGCGGCTGACGGCTCGGGTGGATTACCTGTACGCATACAACGACTCTAGAGCGTCCGATGATAACAATTGCAAGAAAACGGTTTTCTTGAAATTCTTGTTGTTGTAAATAATATTTTGCTCTTTTATTTAGAAATTTTATAAATACGTCTCGCAAGTGATGTTTGACAATATATTTATCTTCAAATAATCTTTGGATAAATTATCTCTAATAATATTCTCTTGGACAAGTTAAACAGTTTAATCGATATTCGATCTTATGATGATGATTTTATAGAGATTCAATGCTAATATAATCGATTTCAATCTATATTTTGGAAATGAACCCACTTGCATATTGTCAATGCTGTCATTTAAATGTCACCTGTGTTGTAATTTTTCATAACGACGTCATTGTTTATCGTGTCGTTTACAGTCAAGTAAATCACAGTATAAAGATCATTATTTTAAAATGAGAAAATTATTTGAAATTCGTCATTTATAAATGTTTTTTTGGATTCAGTATTAATAAAATCTGAGACACCACATCAAATTTATGTTTTTGGTTACAGGCAACTCGCGGATTAGTAATTGGCGATGTGGAACGTGTTGTATATACCTAGATATCAAATGTGTAGTGTACCTTGATGTCAAATGGTTGCGTGAGCGTGCGCGTGAGCACGGCGACGTCCTGTCCGGTGAACTTGTCAGCGCGCACTACGCTGTTGCTACGCCAGTCCGTCCAGTACACGCTGCCCTCGTACACGGTGATGGCGAACGGGTGCGCCAGTGCCGAGTGAGACTGCAACACGGACACTACGCGCGTACCCTCATACGTGCTGCAGTGGATCGCGTCCGATCTATAAACGTGCACGAACGCATCGAATGCTCATCAGAAACCTTGTCATCCATTTTTTTATACATAATATATCTCTTAAATAATTGTTGCTAGATTTTATTTAAATTAATATACTTTAATGAAAAAAAAAATGGTTAAAAATATCACCAGCCCCATTTGCCCCGAGATGGGACTCGAACCCACAATCTTTCGCAATCCAAACGACTGCTCTAACCGTTGAGCTACACGAGACCCAACAGTAGTGACGAATTTTTCAAGCACTTATTACTTTTCGCTACTAGTGATCATATTTTCAATAATGTTTTGGCAATTAAACCAAACGGGGGAGAGAAATATTTTTGCAAAATTTATTGTATTATAGTTTATACCGTATTATGAAAGCAAAATTTATAAAATACAATAAATATTATACTATTTATTTAATGTAAATTTTCATTGTAAAGAAAGGCATCCAAGCTTTGCATTTATGTGGTGTATATCACAGTACCTGGCGTCTATCCAGTAGAGCGTCCGGGCGCGGTGGTCCAGAGTAATGCCGTTGGGCCATGCGCCACCGATGAGCGCACCCACGTGAACCACCACGGTCCTGTTTTGACCCGCCAGCGACGCACGTTCTATGCGCGCCGCCGCTGCCTCCCAATCGCTCCAAAACAGGTATCCTGGACATATCTGTGTGTACACAGCTGAACGGTGCTGCGACTACATATCATTCCAGACTACCACCGTCGAGTGGTTATACTATCGAGCGCTGGAATTCCCGCCGGATTCGAAGCACAAACACTAGTATTGTTTTTCGGGCGCACGAGGATTTTAAATATTTGTTTTTTTTATTAATTATTTCAATATTTTATCTACTTTTAATTAAACATTCAGCGAAAGAATCATTTAAAATTTTAACATCTATTTGTCATCCGAATCATTTAAACACTGTTCTTTTACAGTTCCGCTTTAATATATTCGTAAAAAAATTGACATATTATAATTAAGAATTCATATGACTTTAGTTGCTTTCCAATATCATCATCATCATCATCATCATCATCATCAGCCCTTTTACGGCCCCACTGCAGGGGTTCAGGCCTTCCTTATGGATGGTTAAGGAGGATAGGCCATGACCCTCCACGCTGGCCCAATGCGGATTGTAGGGTATTAACGACTGCAAATGCAGCCGGGACCATAGGCTTAACGTGCCTTCCGAAGCACGGAGTAGCTCGAGATAATAATTTTTGGTCACCCATCCCGTGACCGACTCTTGCGAAAGTTACTTAACGACAACGATCGAGGGCCGCGGCGCTTATCCACTACGCCACCGAGCTACTCATATAACAAACGAATAATAAACGCTTTCCAATATAGGAAATTATAAACATAAAATCGATGTCATTTTTCAGACGAATAAATGTTATATTAATAATGTAACATAGTGGTACTCCGACTCACCGGCATTGGGATCTACGGCGATCGCCCGCGGACTGTCCATGTCGCCGGATATCAAGGTGCGACGATACCGTCCGTCTAGCTTCGCCACCTGAGCACATCCACCGCACTTATATTATACAGGGTTACACGTAAAACACAGTAGTAGATAGCAAACATAAAAATTGACGATTAAACATAACTCAATACTATTACCAAAAAATATTTTCAAGTTTTATAGTACTGGCGTAACACTTTAAATTATTTTATTTATTTATTTTTTTATGCACAAGCGTACAAAGGCGGACTTAATGCCTTAGGCATTCTCTGCCAGTCAACCTTAAGGTGATGTGGAGATTAAAATAAACGATAAAAGCAGGTGCATATGTAATCATTGAGAAAAAAAAATATAAAAAATAAGTATAATATATAATATAAAAATAACTATATATAAGTATAGTAAATAAGTATAATAATTATGTGTTTTATTCGTAAATGAAGTCTCGCATACTTATTAGTACTCAACTGCTAAATTAAATTCAAATTTATTGTTATATATAAGCAAAATGTACCGGTTTATCAAGTCATATAACAAACAATTTCATTTATGATGATAGTCATGAATAACCCTGTATATTTTATAAATCTCTGACTATACACCTTATAATAAATTTCAAGTTTGTTACCTTTAGATGTACTGTTAGATCAGCGTACCTCTATCTGGTGCAGGGAGCTGTCGACCCAGTACAGGTTGTGCGCGACCCAGTCCACCGCCAGGCCTTCGGCATTGGTCAGCCCCGATTCCACCACCACCTCGATGTTACTCAGACCTGGGCACAGGTGCAGCTGTTGTAGGACGGTGTAGGTGTACGTGTATGTATACATGTGTGCATGTATAACTTGTACGAATTAACATAAAGCCTTTAATTCTCCGAAAACAATAATTTGGAAAAATTTTAACTGTTCTTGTTCTCGCATTTTGGAAAGACAAAATATCATTTTCCTATAAATATAATAGGTGTAAATATTTATATATAAATATCATTCATATAATAAGGAAAAATTTAAAATTAAATTTAAAAATTGAAATTTCCCGAGAAAACGCCATTTTTGTCATAGCATCGCTAAAACTAATATGTATGCATAAGGTTTAATTCTCTAAGTTCTGATATGAATAGAGGGGCGTGAAATCACTCCCTGTTTGCGGTCACTTGACAACCTGTATTAAATATTTGATTTTCCAAATTAATTTAAATTCTAAAGATAAATGCATAAAAATGTGGTTATCGGTAATAATACATTAAATACTACCGGAAAAAAAAATATTTTCGTTTACTGTCTACACCCGTATTAGTACGAGTAGTATATATTACCGGCGGGATGCAACGCGCCGGAGTATATCTTGTCGTCGGCGACATCGGTCCAGTATAGGGTGGGAGGGGAGGAGTGCAGGTAGTCTATGGCGACGGTGTTCTTAAGGGCGGAGAGGAGCGCGCGTGACGTCATCGCGGGCAACTGCAGCCCTCGCACCTCGTGACGGTTGCTGAATACTATCAGCGCGGACACGTTCACTGAACATAAACACATTGTTTATGTTACACTACAATAAAACTAGTAATAAATAGTAATATTTGCTTGCATCTACGAAATGTTGGAAGTTTCAAAAGTACTTTTAATAAGTTTATTTGAATATTTTGATATTGACACAGTGACGTAAACTGATCATGGCTGAAGTCTACACATCAGATCAGATCAGACATTATGTCATCCAATTAAATACAATTTATTTTACCTTGTGTGCTTAGCTACACGCAGATAAACGTGACTACGCGATTGCGATTTCAAAGTAAATGTAAGTTTTTTTGATAAAATCGACAATAGAAACTAATGTAAAAATGAAAAAATATAAAATGTGTCACGACTCACGTGTGCTCTTGCAAGTGAATCCATCGTCAGCCAGTTGATAATTTTCATAGCAGGTGCACTTGTGACGGTTCTTATGTGGCTCGCATATCTGCGCAGAAAAATATATATTTCATAAAAATTACGGATACCTAATCAGGAGTTGATTATAATACGACTGTATCCCAATATCCAAACGAGTACACACCTGACTGCACTGTCCCCAGCGGCAGAGCTGTGCCCCCTCGCACGTGAGCCCGTCAGCCGCTAGCTGTAGTGGGGGAGCGCACGCACACACGGGCCCGCCCGGGGACCGCGCGCACGTGCCCTCACACCCCGACAACAAACACATCGGCTCGTCTACAACACACACACGTACACCTCACTATATGTTAATCGACGTTCTCCCTGCTGGAGAGCCTGCCCATCAGAGGCCCAGGGCGGCAATAAGCCCGGATCGACAATTTTTTTTCAAACCAAGGCAGAATTTTGATATTGCTTTCCCTTCTGATATATATTATAAAATTTGTAATATTATTCTGATTTTGGCGGTTGACTGCAGCCATTTGGAAACCCCGGAGGCCCTAAGCGGACCGCCCCCTCTGACCCCTCTTAGTCCGCCACTGCCCCTATGGTAAAATCATAAATGAAGAACAGGCCATAAGCCACGGACGCGGATCAGTAAGTTTTCTGAAGCAAGGAGGGGTTCGAGAAAAACAATAGTATCACCTCTAGCGATTTATGTTTATTAGTAGATCGAGCGCATTATGAAATCTAAGATATATTTTGAAATCGAATAAATTTTAGTCATTGGCGATGCTTAAAAAGAAAGCGAGGAATATATATACGCCATAGATCAAATTAAATTATAACTGGTAAAATAATTAACAAAATTCAAAATAGATTCTAAGCGACACATTCGTAAATATAAACACGAGTCAAAAATTCGTAAGCAGCTAAAAAAATCAGTGCCAAATTCAATTTTGAATGTTCAAAAAATGAGAAGTTTAATTCAAACCGTCTTTGAAATAACCAGTTAAATATTACTATTTAGTAATAAGAGGGATAGGTTTTGTTACCGCATCTGCCAGCCTCGTCCGCTCCGTCGTCGCAGTCTGGATCGCCGTCGCACTGCAGATGCAGCGGCACACATCGCGTGTTGTTATCGCACGCGAGCGCGGGGGGCGCGCACTCCTCAGCCGCTGGGGGTGCCGGGGAGGCCGGCGGAGGCGAGGGGGGCGCGCCCGATGGACAAGACTCCTCGTCCGACCCATCCAGGCAGTCCACTCGTTGATCACATCTGAACTCCTGACGACAAAGACGTAACAAAAGTCTATTGTTAATTTTTATTAGCTAACAAATACACTATTTTGGTTTTTCAATATCCGAAATAATTTCAGATTTGATTTTTAATGATAACAGCGTTATTTATGTCATCAAAAAAGTAGCATATTGAATTATTATTATAATTTTATCCATAAAGCAGAACATAATTTATAGAGACGCATTAAATACATTTATTAATAAACACTCAATAGACACAAATTTTTTTTCTATAACTCACCTTTCGTATACATTCCGTATTTTTACACTGAAACTCGTGTTCTTCGCAGAGACCTCCTTTATCGGTGTCATGTTGATTAGGATGCCTACATACCGGAAACAGAAGAAACGTCGTTACATTAGGATCACTCCATTATATCCGATTGAGGACTATTTTAATCGACAAACTTACAATTCGTTTACTATTATGTATTAAAATTAAAATTTTATTATTTATATATGAAACTATTTTGGTAAATATGTTTTACCAACTACTAGTTTTCCGCCAGTAGCTTTGGCCTGTGGCCAACTTTGCATAATGTTTAAAAACGTATTAAAATTCGTTGTGCAGTTTAAAAGATCTCAGCGTACTGACAGCGAAAAGCGACTTTGTTTTATACTATGTTCATAGATACTAAAGACTTAGTAAAAACAACGTGTAGTATATAAAAGCATAATTAGGTATTATCTTTCCGCTAACTGCTACGCCCGCGTATTCTCTATAGGACTAAAAAGTAGCCTAGATGTTAATATTCTATTGAACTATCCGTCAAAACCCATTAAGTAGCTTTTACGCGAAAGAGTAACGAACATATATACCTAATTAAAAATGCTTAAAAAAATCCACTTGGTCCCTGGCACCCTGAGATGGGATTCGAACCCATGACCTTTTGCTATCCGGGCATTTTTCATTAAGAATATTTTTCAGTATAGCATTGTAAATGCGAAATTGATCAAATATAATATTTAGAACATATATACATTCATACAAAAATCCTGAAAAACTTTGGCATTTATAATACTAGTATGATGGTCTCACGTGCGCTGGTGGGGGTGGTGCGTGGTGGCGGGAGCGGGGTGGGGGGTTGAGGCGGGCGTGGACCGACACGCGCGCTCGTCGGAGCCGTCCGCACAGTCCGCGTGCCCGTCGCAGTAGTACTCCCACGGCACGCACGCGCCACTCGAGCATCCGAACATCAGACGACTGTCGCACTCCACGCTCTCTGATAAACACCGCACATTTAACTAATGCACCTCCTTTCAATTTGATATTTGAAATATATTCATGAACGCTACAACTATTTAACAAGTGCTGACGTTTTTTTGAATGGTTTTTAATGAACGATATCGTTTATTTGACGGTTATTGGAATTGTTTAAAGCTAGTGTTAGACACAAATGTAGCTATTGCTATTAAAAATGTTTAAAGGTGTATGCTAATTGCAATAGTTCGATAGGTTCAGCTCACTTTTTATTATTCTTATATAATTCTAATTGCCACTCGTACGGTTTACGACTAATTTACTGTTTTTAAAATTACATTCACATTTATTCAATTGCAATTAAGTCAAAATTGTAAATTACATTTGGGGCGAAAATATTTTTTATTAATTTTCTTTGTATTGCCAGAAGATTGTTTCCAATGTTTTTCAATATATGTGGTTGTGTACCGCAGTATTCCTCATGGCTAAGTCACCGGAGGTGAGGTGTATGTGAGATAGATATAGGGTATGTGTAAGTGCAGTGTTCCTCGTCATTGTGTCAGTGGTGGTGAGGTAGACATAGGGTAAATGTGTATGTGGTTGTGTACCGCAGTGTTCCTCGTCGCTGGTATCGTGTGGTCCGCAGTCGTGTGCGCGGTCGCAGCGCCAGGCTGCGGGCACGCAGCGGCCGGAGTGCACACACCGCCACTGCTCCGCCCCGCAAGTGCTCACGCCGCACCCACCCGCCTCATCCCACCCGTCCGAACAATCTGTATACCTCGTACGAATTAATAAGACATCTCGGAGTCTATTCTATTTGTCATGGAATCGCTACCTCCGTTTCTTAAAGTAAATGCGTTTTCCTATTTTTTATGATGCAACGGAATCTGCCCCAGAGTAGTTTCATGTTTGAAATTGAAATCACGCAAGTGACTGAGGTAATGAGATCATAACAAAATATAGACATAATTTACATTTTAACGCAAAATGTCAAAACATTATATCTAGAGGGATGTCTGATTACAATTAATAAAGCACACAAATAATTTCCCAGACACAATGGAACCCAGAGTAATTTCATGTTTAAAAATGAAAAACACGCGAGTGACTTAATCAGATAACAATGTATAAACATAGTAATAATTTATATTTCTGACGCAGAAAATATAAACTTCCTATTTAGTGAATCTAAGAATCTGATTAATAAAAGTACACACTCAATTTCTTACAAACTGGTGGATATTTGGCTGTATGGTTAAAATAACATGAAAAAGGATTAAGTTAGTTAATGCGATGTGTTAATTGGTTAAAAATCTCCAAAAAATTGTATGTCAACACCACAGTTTTATTGATAACAAAAAAATAGATTTTAAAGGAAATTACAATTACTGCTACAGTCACTGTATTTAAATAATAGGTAAGTAAATTATGTCTTAAAATTGTCATATGACACTTAAAAAATTATATAGTATAAACATTTAATTATTTTCTGTAGAATTTTATAAAGAAAACACAAAATTAAAAGACAAGTGAGGCGAAGGTTTACGATAGACCATAAACTGACCTTTGGCACCATCGCAGACCCAGCTCTTCGGTATACATCTATTCTTGTCGCATTGCAAATGGTTGTCGTCACAAGTTGCGTTCGCTGCAAATTAATAAACGTTTAATATTTTCAAATCCATTGATAATAATTAAGTAAATTAATGGTTAGTTTTGTCAATTAGCGGTAGATTATGGCCATCTCGTGGAAACTAGATGCTTTTGGAGAGGACTAAAGAAAATATTCGATGGCAGGAGAGACTGACTGAGGGAAAAAGCAGCGTTCTGGAATTTTTTGAGAATGCTACGAATATTCCAGTAACATACAGAGTTAAACCGCGACCCATATAAATACGTGGTGAGTTGTTTGTCCCGCCATTCACTCAGTTGTATAGTCATAATCACAATTCACATTACTTACATCACTCGAATCACAGCTCGTAACATTATAATTTTATTTTACTTTTGAGTTCACGTGTTAATACTTTCTGACGAACGAAAAGGATCTGCTTATTATTCTATGGAATAAGTTAAGAATGGAATTCTAAAGTTGTGGTATGAAGATAAATTAACCTTCGCATAAAAATGAGGAAAATCGACAAAATTCTAATGTACTGTATATAATACAAACCACAGGGCCCCGCGGGGGAGGCATCCTCGTCGCTGCCGTCGGCGCAGTCCGTGTCGCCGTCACACACGTATGATTGCTCTATACACTGCCTACACATACATACATACATATTATAGTGTATTATAACTACACGCTAAACGCACGTACAGAATAGGTCATTCTACTCTGTTTGAAAATATATTTGAGCTTATTTTTATTTCAAACATTACTATTTAATTTTTGCATTTCTTGTAGCACGGGGTTACCTGCTACACTTTCTTATTTAAAGCTATGATAAAATGCACTGAGACACAAAATATACACAAAAGTAAAAGCCTTCCCAATGCATAGTATCACCGCTTACTCTAGAAACTAATACGAGAATATATCCCTTTACTATACATCATTTAGTACATACATTTTTCTCGTACGAGTTAACATGACACCGCATGGTCTAAAAATTTCAAATCGTTCTTTCGTTCGTTCTCTAATGTTTAAATAATATCCATAAAGATTATCTTTACGTCAGAGGCAGTGTCAAGTCCTACCTGCGTTGCATAATAAATTATCAAAAAATGCGTTTTTTTGGAGTCGTATTAGCGCTTCGAAAATAGACGAAATTGCGTTTTCGGAGAAACAGTGAAGGCCTTCAGGTGTCATGCTAATTAATTCGTACGAGTTTATAGTAGGTATGTTTAAGCATGAATGAGACTCACTTACCCGGTCCCGCAGTGGAAGCGGCCGCGGTCACAGGGCGAGGGCGGGGCCGGGGGCGGGGCAGTGGCCGCGTGCGTGCTTGTGCGGCACGTGCGCTTGTCGGTGTGTATGTGTGCGGGCGGCACACACGCGCAGCGGCGGCCGCCCGGCACCGGCAAGCACAACGCGGCACAATCGCCGTTGTTACGCGAACACGCGTTCTCACCTTGCACATGTACACATAACGCATACCGGTCATCCATCACAATTACCACATAATTGGAAAGTCTTTAACACGAATTACGTATACGTGCGTAAAGTACGTAAAACTGGATGTAAATATTTAGATGATATCTTTATTCAGTTAAAAAATAAAAGATTACGTATTTTGCATTCATTCAAAATCCGAAAGGAGGATTTTCTATATTCAAAGAGTAACTATATTTTTTATTTGCATGTTCTTCGATTTCTTCTTGTATTGTGAACAATATTTCGCCTATATCCCGTATCCCGTGATTTCGCCTGCGTATATTAAAGCTTATGTTCCCCGCCGATTACGAAGCTTCACGAAGAGGAGACTTTCATAAATCGGTCCAATAGTCTCGGATACAATGGATAGGCCATTGCAAACAAACAAGCAATCAAATGTTTCTCTTTATAATATGAGTATATATTATTGGAAAAAATTGTGTCTAGCAAACAAACAAAATCTCTAAGTCTTTGATGATGTTGAATATTTTTAGTGTTACCTATTATATAATAAAATATAAATATAGCACTAAAAAGCACAAAATAAAAACTTATTCAAAAAAATAGAACCGGATTCAAACTTTAAAAAAGTGATAAATAAAATGTTATTGAAGTCAGACGCCTTTCATTTAATTAATATCCACAAAAAACCACCGCCTATTCGGTTCTATTATTTAGATTTTTTTTACTTAGAATATATTTAAGTGCCTTTTTCATTGTTGCAATATGAAACTGAGTTCATTAGTAAGGATTTCATAGTGTGACAAAAGTCATCGAAAAAAACATATTTCACGCACCCTGCCGTGATCTTGTAATTATATGACAGTTATCTATCTTCTAGAGTTGTAAAGTTCGAAGTTTATACACCATATTGTTATTTATCGCGCTCCAACTCCAACAAAAACTACCCGTTTGACGCAGAAAAACGTATGTGAGCCCGCAATTCGTATGACGACAATTGTGTATGCATGACACAAATTCGTATCCAAAGTGGGCGTAGCAGCACCAGCTGCTTATGAAATCCGAAAGTAATTTTTGGGCTACGTACATACATACACCCGCATGTACGTAATACCTTAACGACAAAATTGCACTTCCGATAACGACCGATAAACGGAACAATGGAGATTAATTTTATAGAAAAATACATGTATTTAATTTAATCAATATAACAATACATTTACTATATTGAATGTGAACATACCGACATCAGCGATGGAAGAGACGAGCTTGAGGTCATAGAGTGGTGGGGGCAGATCATACGCGACAGTCACTGTCCCGTTCACGTCGCGGCGCCGCACTTTGCCCGTGTCGTGCTCACTCCATATTATAGCACCTAAGTAACGGCTCATTGTATTATCCTTAGATAGAGTCAAGTATGGACGAATGGCTCTGTGTGTCGATTGAGCGAATACCCGTTTGGTGGATCCACAGAGGGAAGTCCTACATAACCACATCGCTCGCTAAGCGGCGGGGTTTCATTAAAGCGGTACCACAATAAAAAGGTATGGACGAAAGGCCACAACTCGTCACACAGTCTCAGTGCGGATTTGATGGATGTTAACGGCTTATGTGCTTTTTGAAGCACGGAGGATCTAATAATAGTAATTTTTTGATAACCTTTCTGATTACTCCTGCGAGTTTCTTAATTTTCACGATCATAGATTCAGAAGGGACGAGAATCGAATACCAAGTATTGAATACACATACAATTATAATTATTATTCATTGACATTATTATGATCACGGGGTTCTTTGAGAGACAATATTAACAGTGTGTCCACTATAGTATTCACAAGGTATCAACTAAACACACATGGAATATGTAACTTGTAAACGTACTCACCTTCGTATATCGCTAGACCGTAAGGCTTAAGAACCGGCGTGGTGGGACTATTGGATACCACCACCTCGCGCATTTTACTACTCAAAGACAAACGCTCGATCTTGTTCAAGTAAATGTCGCACCTGAAGAAGATACATATCAACTTTTACATATACGAATTTCAATATGTGTGCAATAAATCTTATTCAAGAAGAAGCTCAGCAGCCACCTTGATGCTCATCGAATTTGGTTCACTCTAAATTTGTTTTATGACTAACTAGCTTTCCTTCTGCGTGGTCCTGTATCATACATATAAATCTTCTTCTTGAATCACTCTATACATCCGCATTAAAATCCGTTATGTAGTTAAAAAGATCTCAGCGTACAGACAGCGGGGAGCAATTTTATTTTATAGCATATAATGACGTGTAGATTTGAATTTACCAGTAGAGATAATCTCTATGCAGCGCTAGTCCGGCTGGCCAGTGTAACTGGGTGTGCACGAGGTGTGACCGATCGCCACCGTCCATGTGCGCGCGCTCTATCAGCCCGCCCTTCTCCCCACCCCACACCGACCAGTACATCAAACTGTGTAACAAACATATACTAAATCAAACATAATCAAACATAAACTATAAAATAGTGGTGGTATATAATGAAAACACTGTGTAGTGCCAAAACAAGGTTGAAATCAATTGAATTGAAATTTACTATATAAGTTTTAACAAAGTGATATATTCCGAGCGCTCGCGACGGCAATGGTGTCTCTTTACCACCTGCCCATTAATGACTTACTTGGGCTCAGGCCTTCTCTATAGATTAAATCGAATCAAATCGAATAGGGAGAATGGGCCAAACAAACCACGCGGGCCCTTGCGAATTGGTGGATGTTAACGACTGCAGATGCAGCCAGGAACAACTGCTTAACGTGCCTTCTGAAGCATGGTGGAGCTCGAGATAATTTATTTTCGGTCGCCCATCCTATAACCGGCCATTTCGAAAATTGCTTAACAATCATATCGAAGACCGCTTATTGCTCGGTAGTGCAACTTATTACTAAGTAAACAAAATAACCTAATGTAGTCCCTACAAGTACATTATGACCGAAAGTGGATTTCATATCGACGTTTGTTTTCTCTTTATTTATCATTTTGTGTTGAAGTACACTCCGCAAATTAAACGAGCTACAATACTTATAATAGATTATTTCATCAATGGAGCGATATAATCTGAGATAGACACGAATAATCGATTTATAAGGCAGACACGGGATAACTTTTAAAACGTTAAAATGGAGATGTAACAGGAGTTTTCATCTTTGTATTTCGGGTTGAGACACAAACAGTGGTGTAGCGTGCCTTGACGGGGCCCCGTATACAATTTTTTGTTGAGGGCCCTTATGAAGGGTGAGTGGTGAGTGAGCCAAGATGAGTAGCTTAAGTCCCGTATTATGGAGTATCTGAGACAACGAAGGTGCCATAACACCCAGATCCGAGACAATACAGAAAAGTTCATTTTCTACATTGATCCGACCGGGAATCGAACCCGGGATCTCAGAGATTGCGACACCCTGAAACCGGCGAACGAACCACTCGGTCGAATCTACTCTCGTCTTGACTTGTTTCGGAAAATCATTTATAGTTAATGCTGTCTCTAGTTTTGCCAAAGTTTCTACCTGTATGGGCAATAGTACCAGTTCTGACAGGCGTTCATGTTCCATCGAAGTTTTTAGATAATTTAAAAAAGTACTTAGATAATTTAAAAAAGTTCGAAGTTCTGAGATAATTATTTGACTTTGTCATTTCTGAAATTAATAAAAACATCGGGAAGTTCTTATTAATTTTTGTTTACGTACGTTTGGGGCCCCGTATAATTGATACGGCGGTAGCTACACCCCTGGACACAAATTGAACTGAACTATAATGTTTGTAACAGAACTCATGAGTTACCCGTTGGCGGGGTCGAGTACGATGGACCTGGGGCTGTATCGCGCGGAGTCGGGCGCGGTGACTAGTGTCAGTCTATCGCGGGCGTTTGATACCCGCGCCACGCTCACTGTACCCACAGTAGAATCCGCCCAGTACACCAGTCCGCCTGACGCATACACACACACTCAATTTCTATTTTCACTGAATATCATAACTTATACATATTTAAAAGTGAACGTGAATTAATATAAGTGACCGTGAATTAACATGACACCTGAAGGCTTATTATACTTCCCGCGAAATGTTAATAGCACTCCAAAGAAACTCATTTTTCAGTAATTTATTCTACAACAGAGGTAGGACCTAACACAGACTGTGATGCACAGAAATTCTCCACTGATATAATTTTAATGGTTGGTGGTGACCCTGTTCCAACAAAGCTTCGTTTCTAAACGTTGTTACTATTTATTAAACGTTTCATACGTTAAAAAGAATTCCTAAACGGGTGGCCCGGAAAATATGAACCACTCAAAAGAATTGTATTGCTGTTTTAAATTTGTATGAAGATATTTATCACGATCGACGCGAAATAGTGTTTCGCATTATTCCCATCTTCGACAGCTTCAGATTGTTATTCTGTAGGCTACAAAGAGACCAGCAAAACACCCAATTCCTAGATCTAAATAGTTTATCAATAACTTTACCTACTTAGAATCTTTTTAACACACTGATCACCTGTGTATAAAATCAAAAGTACCTAGCATCAAGTGCATTACTATTTTGAAAGCAGACTAATTTATCATTAACATTGACAGTTACTATGCCTACTCAGGTTGACATGAAAATGAATGAATTTTAATAAGGATGATGACTAATCTTTGTCTGTTTGTCTTTTAGATAGATTATTAAAGAATATTAAGCACGTATTTTTTTATTTCTCGTGCACCTTTATATTCCTGTAGATTAAGTTGAAATTTCGCATGACGTCACACCTTTGTAAATTTTCTACATAGTTGTGACGTGTTAATGGCAATTTCTTGTTAAATTGAAGCGAAAAAATACGCATCTAATATGTTCCTAAAATCTGACTGACGGACTAAATAGATTCTTTTTTACGCAGCCTTCTAGTAATATGCTCAACAACGGTATACAGACTCATCCAATCGATGGCGATCCCTTCACAATTGTCGACGCCTTCGTTGATGAACACCTCCCGCCTGCTGCCGTCCAGACGCTGCCGCACGATCTCATACCTATAATAGGTATTTCATATATCATGTTTTGTTGAAATATTTGATAATTTACGCAGAGATAAGGTAAAGCATTTAAAATCACCTGTAATGTAAGCGCATAAAAATTAGCATTTGATTGTACAAATATAAATAGGTAGGGGTCTTAGAGATCTTCTTTGACTAATAAAAAAGTATTACAAAACAAAAACAGCATGAAGGTGTCTTACTGTTGGCCTTAGATGGCCTTTACAGTGTAACCGGACTAAGGGACGGTGAGATCCTTAGGACCTCAAGCCGAGATGACGATCGTCCTCGAGACTGTCTACTAGGAGGGCATCAACCCACAAGGAAGTGTCTCCACTCCGTCGTAGAGTCGCCCTGGACTCTCGTGTCGGACGCTGGGGGTCGGGATGATTAGAGGGCGCCTCTAGAGGCTTGGACCTCGGCTCTAATTATCCCCTGTCGTGGAGGGCGGAAAGATACGCCTAGGTACATGTCTGTACCTGGTGAATCGGGTACTGTGTAGACCGGGTCGTTGCACTCGTGACCGGTAAGTGCGGTGTCGCAGACCTATCGGTGAGTGTGTGTTACGTAGTGTTGTTTGACGGGGGTTGGCCAGAGTGATGGGGTCGTCGGGATAGTTAAGGACATGTTTAGGTCGACGGAAGTTCAGCGCTTGGCGGATAGCGTGAAAGAGAAAAAGTCGTACTCGGAATGAACGAACGAGACCTAGCACTAGCGCCAACTAGAATTAATGAGAAAAATAGAATGGTAACGAATTGGCACTGGGTAGGAAGTGGTTGGGTAGTAAAAAAAATAGACCTGTGCACGTCGCAGTAGTAGAGTATATCCTGCTTGGTGTCGACGGCGGCAGTGGAGACGCGCGCGGCGTGCGTGGCGGGCGCGGCGGCCTCGTCCCCACCTTCCGCCCACGCCCCCGCCCCCGGCACCAGCAGCGCCTGCACCATGCCGGGAGATCCGCGCGCCAGGACCAGGTAACTGTCCACCTGCGCGGCTGCACGCAACCACTACACTTTATATAAGTCCCACAAACTGCTAATGCACTGGAACCTTGTCTAGACACCCGCATGACGTCATTTGAAAATAGAAAGTATACATAGCACAAATATTCAAGAGATAATTTTTTATTAATTATGATCCCCAAAATATTGTTATATTAATTTATTAACTTTTAGTTTATTATAATAATTATTAATGTTATACTATTTTACACAGCATTAGCTGGTTGCCTACATTTTACGGGTATATAAACTAAGTAAAATATAGTATGCACAACAAAAATTAAAAAATATTGTGTTGTCTCAACACACAACCCAACTCAAAATGTGTACTTTCTTTAACAATCAATACCGTTAACAAACATAGGTTGACATATGTTTGTTAACGGTATTGATTGTTAAAGACAACTATCGATAGAATACGTCACTAAAATGGTGTCAATTGCTAATGAGCAATTTGCGGAAATTATAACATATATCGACACGTTATCGAAATCCGACCGTAAAGTCCGAACTTCAAAGACTTGGCCACTACAATGTCTATTTTTCACCATTTGGTATCTAGTAAACAAAAAAGCATATATTTTTTATTTACAAATTCAATGTATTTGTAAAACATCATTATAAAAAGCATATTAGCATTCTGCACTTCGACCGCATAATTTTCGTAAAAGAAAACTGAAGCTTTCGCTCCACGTGTTAATTACCACGACGACAATGATGTTTAGATAGCACGATAAAAAACTAACTAATATACGGTCAGTTGCACAAACGTCCTGATAGACTTATAAAGTGTTAATGACATTCCGTGTACGTCAAATCAAACTCTCGAATTGAACGAATAAATCATTTTTTGGACACATAAATTACAGTAAATAACATTACACAAAAATTTGTATTTTTTATCGACAATAATTTAAACTTCGATTACCCATTACAAATAGTTAAAAGTTTTTAATCTGAAAAGTACAACGAGAAGTTAAGACTATAAGTTTTACCTTCGCCATCGTCAAAGTTCTAACACCGCGTATGTTAAAAACAAAAACTTTGAAACGAGTTCAAATAGTGCATAATAGGGGTGTAAACAACTTTATTACATATAAGTATTGTTCATAAAATAAGTTAAAATCTAAAAATATATTTTTTTTTAATTTCCCGCAAAATCGCCAACTTTTGTCAAGGCGTCACTAAGCAATCACATCCCTCTTAAACTAATATCGCTCTTTAATGCTTAAGGTTTAATTTTAGTACTGATACGAGTAACAGGGGCGTGATATCACGCACTGTTTTTGCTCACGTGACAACGAGTATAAAATATTTGATTTTTCATAATTAATTTTAACAATATTATAAATATGATAAGCATATAAGTGTGATTATCGGTAATTATATATTAAACACTAGCAGAAAAAAAGAATGTCTATTTATTTTCGTTTATTGTCTACATCCGTATTTAGCAAATACTACACAAACACAAATTAACGATTTGTGTACACTAAATATTTATAACTGTTATTGCAAAATGAAATAATTGCTAAAAATAACTTACATGTGACGATGTTATGTGTGTGTGTGTGTGTGTGTGTGTGTGTGTGTGTGTGTGTGTGTGTGTGTATGTATGTATGTACTCACGCAGGCAGTCTCCGTGTCCGTGCAGGGTGTATCCGTGTGCGCACAAACAGTGTGCGTGCGCTTTACCGGCGCGGTACGCGGTCACGCATATGTGCGAGCACTGACCGTTCTCACGACCGCATCCGTGCTCCACTGACAAGTTAACAAATGTTTACATTTATTAAATGAATAATTTATGTATGTACGCCATAAGAAGGTGACCCAGTTAACAGAGCTTTAAAAGGATTCAAAACGTATGACCAAGCTCAACTTCCAAGAATTTCTTAAAATTTCTTAAAATTGAGGTTTTTTTTTAGATATTTATATCGGTTTTATAATGGTGTAAAAAATAAAACTGAACTTATTTATTTGCAAACTATTTTTTCTCTGATATACATATAAAGCAGCATATACAATCCCGCAGATTTGGTTAAGTTTTAAGCTTCGTTATGAGTGATTACAAGCAAGAATCCACGAAGGCTAACAAATAATTCTTCAAATCGCTGTAACTGTTAAATATATGGAAAAACTGCAAAACATAGTTTCTTGTTATCACTCTTCTAACATTAAACAATTGCAGGGAGTTAAATATTGCAAAAAAGAAATTTGGTTGGGCGAAAAGACTTAGATTCGATTTCAGACTCTCAGCCGAGTGGTTATCGTGTATGGTGATGTGCTTACCCGTGGGTTGCGCTTGCCGGTGGTAAACTAGTACAGCAGACGTTCTGTGCGGTAGCGGCACCACATCGCTGGGCGCGGCTAACGCGGGAGCTAGGGCGGGGACTGACGTGTACTCTACCACCCCCCGCGTATACTCCGGTGCGTATACCACGCCCCCTAGCACACCCAGTTGGTGCACGTGGTGAGACTAATTATACAAATATTACGTTAAAATTTTTCGACGTGTGAAAATGATCTATAGGTAATTTTTTGGAGATATTCAGTCTTAGTACATATGTGGAATCAGTAAAACTTACTGCCCTGTGTTTCTGTAAAAATCCGAACCCGAACTCGAATTTACTCTGGTGTTCGAATTCACTTCAAAAGCGACATCCACTTAACATTAAACATTAAAATGACGTGGACACGTGAGTGAATTCGAATTCGGGTTTGGATTTGTCCGGAATCGTACGTAGTAACAATTAAGTAATTAGTAACAATATCTACAACCGCTCTTTCTCGAGTTGTTTTGGTGAAATGTCCGTCAGAATGGTTCGCCGTGTCAACTAGATATATCAGAATAGGTAAAGCACTGACCATCCGCAACCTGGCTACAGTGAGTCGATGTTTTCCATCGTAGGTTATCCGCTCGAGAGTATCGAGGTACCCATCGGCCCAGTACACGTGTTGGGCGGCGACGTCGACGGCTACGCCCACCGGGTATACCAGCTTGTGCAGCACCAGACTGCCCCGCCCCTCCCCTGCCAGATTTGCGCGTTCCAACGCCGGCGGTGATGCGCCCCACACCGACCAGAACATCAATCTACACCCACCGCAACACCACAATCAACATCACATATTTACACATACATTGTTTGCATCACTCTGCCTTCTGGTATTACCTTCGGGTAGGACCTATTTGCTAGATGGACGCTGCCGTGACTTATTTTGATTTAAGTAGACATTGATATCTACAGATGTTCTCTGAGAGAATTCGAAGTAGCCTAAAGTAGACTAATGTTATAAAGAGGTATTTGATACTAAAGATCGATTTGAAAAATTTTTTACTTACAAATGCGGGTGACATTTACGTAATTTACGCGGGCGAAATTGCGGAAAATTAGCTTGTCTCTTTATAATATTTATGTCATAATAACACATATCTACTACTCCTTTGAATAGGGAATTTTATGAAAATGTTTTCATATGATAATATAAATCGTTATATAACTGTAAACAAATACATGGCACCGAAGAACTAAAATTTGGTAACAAACAGTATAAACACCGGAATTTTTGGCTCGCTTGACGTGACGTCGAAGTACACGAATAGAAATATGATATTTTATTGATTTCAATATGGATTATAACACAAATCGATTAAGAACTAATCGTTTTTTATAATTATAATATTTTGTTAATAGTCACATAGTTTAACCAAATTGGTGAAATAAAAATAAAAGCCTAAAATATCATTTAAATTGTAATCAGTTGTTTTTCTGCAATGTAATACATTGATGTTATTGCATCGATCTCAACTTTTTGTAACAACAACATCTCTCGAGTAGCATGGCACTTGCTTTTTTTTTTAAATTTTGAAGTTACCACTTCTTTGTACTTTTAAAAAAATATTTTCAAGACCAAAACAAACTAATGTTGAAAAATATTTACATAGACTTCTAAGGCAATAATGATTGTAATAAAATATATTTGACCTGTTTTTGAACCAGATGCATATTCCTTATTACCATGGCACCTTAAGCCCTATTCCATTTCTCCGAAAATGAAATTTCGTTCTCTGATGCACAGATAATCTTCAGGGCATATCTCTGAAGACTATCTGATTATTAAAATATATATATATAAGAATGATGATTTGAATTTTAAAATCAATTTTAGCACAGTATTTTTAAATTTATCCATAGCCATTTAATAAATAAAAAACACTGAGAAGTTGGTCGTCTTTAGAATAACAAGCATTCTAATTGAAACTATTCAAATTAGATTTATTTAATAAATAAGTGGTGTACATGAAAAAAAAATGTTATAATTAGTATGATTAGTAAGTATTACAATAGGTATCTGTGGTAGAATTATATCCGGGTGACTACTTCTTATTTTATAATTACTGGATAAGCTGATGCGAATGTAAATTAAGATACTAAATCATCCAAAAATAACGTATACTGATGAAACACATTTTCTGTATTTAGAAGAAACATAGCAGTTATAGAAAATGATATATATGTAACCGTTGAAACTACTTAAGACGTTTTTTGATGCTCACCCTGCGGTGGGATCTAGCGCGAGTCCATGCATTCTGTCGAGTCGTCGCTGCAACAGCAGTCGGCAGTACATCAGCAACTGACAGCACACGTATAGTACGCCGCGACTCTCGTCATAAAAATACCAGCTGCCCGACACCCAGTCCACGCGCAAGTAACTCACCGCTAAAACATATACACACGTATAATACCCTGCGTTGACGATATGGAGTGTACTCGTATTCGGAGTTAGCGTCAATAATTATCAACTGCCGAAACATCTGCGTTGTTAGGTTAGGGTTTCAAGCGCCGCAGTTGATGGTAGAGGGATTGATTGCCCAATAGCGAATCTCTCGCCACAAAATGGGTGATTGACACCTGGTCATTGCACGTGCCCGACTGTCCGCGAGGAGAATCTGATGCACGTAAGTTTCACATGTGAATGTGGCCTTTGACCTGAACGGGGATTGGGTGTGGAGCACTCCCTGCTGAATCTTAGGCCCAAAAAAGATGGTGTACGGAGGGCGTTTAGTGGATATGCCATCCGGGTTTAGATTAGTCTTCGGGAGGTTTATTGCGTTAAAAAATATAAAAGCTTCGGTGTTAGTTATTCAAACAATACTTACATTCGATGTCTGGGAAGAGGTCGGGCGTGGGTAGAGTATGTCGACGTGACATATCGTCAGCGTCCGCGCATACCAGGGATGACTTGCTCAGGTTGTGATGCACGTAACACACGGACCTGACACATCACCGATACATAGGTGTTACTATAAATTAGATTACGATTAAAACAGTACGCTCCTTTCGGTGTTCCACAAGGAACCGTTCTTGCCCTGACGTTATTTTACCTTCAAATAAACGTGCTATATAAGTCACATTTTTCTACGTGTTTTGTTACTGCAAGTCTTATATAAATTGTTCTAGAGTATATAAATGATTATATTTACAATCATGAATATATTACTATTATTTGTCCATGTGCGTGTTGTCGTTAAGATATACTTGACATCAGTAATCAATTCTCTTAATTAATTAGGCATAACTTAGTACACAAGTAATTACGATGTTAAATCATTCTAAAAATATAGTATTTATTATGTGTTGTTACTTGTTGGTGTAGTGAAAGTCAAAAGCTCGCACGCTGAGTGCTCGCAGTAGCGTGCGATTGTTAGGAGGAGGCGGGGTCCCGGGCGGGAGGGCCCCAGGCGCGGAGTCCCCGATCGTCTCTGACGCGGGCGCAGGACGGATGCGCTGTATACCTTGCTCCTTCACCACCAGTAATGATAGCGGGACCGACGGCGGTTCTACACATATTACATTCAGCTTGTCTTAAAATTATAATATCGATCTATTTTTGTATTTTCCTTGTATCTATATTGTTACTTGATGTAATATAAATAAATAAATTAAAAAAAATACTTTTTTTTTACAATTTCACAGTCCTCTTTATTACTAGGTATGATATTGAACAGAGCAGGATAGAAAACGAAGCAGTCTACGATATATCGAACATGGATGTTAAAAGAACAGTGTATGAGTTTGGCTCTTACGGTAACAGGTTTTAACAAACAATAAAACAGTAATCGGAGAACACTAATAAGATCGCGGTAGCATGTGTGTGTGAGTGTGTGTGCTGACCGTTGATTGGTTTGCAGGTGGCGCGGTCATGTCGCAGCGTGTACCCGCGCGCGCACGCACACGCGTACGAGCCGGGAGTGTTGCGGCACGTCTGCGCGCAGTACGAGCCAGCGGCGCACTCGTCCGTGTCTAACAATGTACGTACTATTATTATGTACCATTATTACACACTATAATTATTATTCTAGTGTATTATATGAAAAAAGATATCACATGTTTTTATATTTGTATCTCAAGTCAAAAATAATTATATATTTTATAAATTCAAAAGGAAAACCTTAAATACGGTAAAATTGTTTTAACTGAAAACTCAGCTTTTGGATCGAGTTACAAAGCGTTTACAAATAGTACTCTTATCGTGTATTGTATCACTCACCGACGCAGCGTCCGTCCACAGGTTCATAACCGGGTTGACAATAACAAGCGAGACCCTCGTGCGTGGGACGACATCCCAGGGCACACTTCAGATCAGAGCACGATGCTACCGTAACTGGATTATAGAAAAAAAAACTCTTTTTTTTATCCTTAATGGAATTTTAATCCTTAATGGATTACAAGTAAAGTGCAAGGGAAAATTGGATGTGGTATAGGAATCTGATGTGCTGCTAAAATAAATAAAATTCTGATATTATCCATATGATCCAAATATTAACTATAAATAAATACAGATATTTATTTTATGTTATTATAAAAATAAAATTAAAAAGAAAACAACAGTCAGCATTCAGAAATAATAGACCGGGCAAGTGGGTATATAAATTGGCATCTAATTTTGTACACAAGCTGATAAACAGACTCGAAGGATCGATGATCGGGAGTGAGGACATTTCACATTTCTCGTCTACTAAATTAAATTTTGAGTCGATAGAGTTATATGCCTTATGTATCAATTTATTGATTCTGATTTCATAGCTATATTTTAAAGTTAGATTAGCGGAAAATACATGCTCTAAAGATATGAAGCTGGAGGAAAAAGCTGGGAGTGTCATCGACAGGATTACCTACAAACACCTCTATCCTTATAGAACTCACACAGCGTCTATCAAGCGTCTGTACTACAATGTCGGTCAATAAATCAAGACGTCAAGAGCGACACGACAGAGATGTGAGATCTCTTGCCGGGTAGCCAAAGAGAATTGGTCAGTATGACCCAGAGGCAGGGTCTTTAGATCGATTTGTGTTTAGTGTGGTATGGTTTGGACGGCGTACGTACAGTTGTCGCATATGTCCCACTCGTCGCTGCCGTCGGCGCAGTCCCTCGTGCCGTCACAGAAGCTGTGCACGGGTGCGCACTGGAAGTGGCCGCCAGAGGGGGTCGCGCATCGCGCCATATTGCCCCCGCACTTGAACTCCTTGTTGCCTGACAACCGATCACATTTCACTATCCTCTCATAACATTTACACCAGAACCTGATACGTCCATAATAATATTATAAATGGTAAACTATGTTTGTTAAGGTGTTTTGTGTAGAAATAACTGGCAAACGGGATTGTGATAAAGGAACTATTTACCGCGATAAAAACATCTCTTTTGAACGATTCAAACACATACTATTCATAGTTTTTTTAATTATATCTTTGCAGGCATAATAATCGTAATTAACAGCCGCTTAAGATGGTAACAAAAGTGGTTTTAGTACTGATGTCATGCATATCAATAGGTATTTGATTTATGTTTAATAAAAAATGCAACTTCTGAAATAGATAATTTTTATTTCTACTGTTTTAAACTTGGACATGTTCCAAGTTTAAACACAGACGTCACTTACAATACACAAATTTAACGACATAGTACACAATGCAGTATCCATAAAAACGTCTACGCCTATCAAATTTGTAATAGCAAATACATATTTATCTATACTTTTTTCATACATCGCTTGCCTCTGTTCTTGCATTAAAACTTCTGTTATGAAGAAGATTGACTTTATTTCTAGAAATAAAACCCATGACATGAAGTAACGTGAATATTTTTGTTTTATTACTACTGTAAAGATAAACTAGGATTTTTAAAGACCAAATATAGATAAACCTTACAACAATGCATACGTACACATGTAGACATCCTCGTCGGATTGGTCGTGAGGGCCACAGTCGATGTCGCCATCGCAGCGCCACGTGGCCGCTATACACAGCCCACTCGACGTGCACTTAAACTGGCCCGGGCCGCAGGTGCTGTTGAACGCTGCAACACACACGCACACACATCAACAACTGCAATATACACCAATTTCCAGTCAGCGCCGGTTCAATGAAACTTGACGTCCTGGGCAAAACATCGTAACGACGTCCACACAAAATAAAGTAGTAACCAATATCGGTATGGACACCGATTAAAATGTGTTATTTTTCAAATACCAAAAGAAACTTCTTAGCTAAGTCTGAGAATTTTGTACTTATAATTACCGCGGGCATGGATTCATGTCCAAAGTACAAAAAAAAATCATTTTTTTTATGATACTGCATGGGCTAGGCAGTGCCTATATGGACGAGCCAGCCCTGCTAGTACCTGCGAGATATTCGTGCACCATGGAAACAAATTTTGCAACCACACTAACTGATCTCTGTATACGTATTTTAGTTTCCATATATTATGGGTATTCTCTTTAGTTAGAGATTTCCGTTTAGAACTTTAGACCATTTCTATGTCGGTTGCGAATTTTGTAACCGTCAGTCGCAGATTAGTTACACTTATTTTTAAGAGAACGTGTACACGCAAAATAGCAAGATTGAACAGGTTTTCTATAATACAATGAAATGACACTCAAATGATTAATTTTCGCATCCCGTATCAATTACGCTAACCATCTAATACGTGTGTGTGTGTTGTCTATATCGATTTATGATTATATACTGACTGCAGTTTATCTCGTCGGAGGCGTCAGGACAGTGCGGTCGGTGGTCGCACCTCCAAGCGGCGGGCACGCATCTGGACCCGTCCGCGCACGCCCACTCACTGGGGCCGCATACCAGCGCCCCCGCCCCGGAGCCGGCCTCGCCGCCCCCATCTCCATCCGCCCCAGTCACTTCCTCGCCGGGCACACCTGAGACATATTATCATTGTTTGAAATGAACAAACAATATCAGTCAGAAGATTCACATCCTATATTTTGGTATGCGAAGTTTTATAGCTTGTAGGTATCAAAAAACTCTTTATGTTATTTTATGTAATGAGTAAAGGTATCCCCAGGAGGAGCAGAAGGGGCACTCCCCATCCTAAAGATTAAAAAGTTGCCTAATGTAAAGCAACCGAAGTCCTAATTCTTTAACTTCACTCGCTTGATCAAATATTTCTGTATGTCGCAACTAAAATGAACTTACCAATGTTATGCTATTATTAAAGCGAGATAAGGGAACTGGTGTACATTCAAATCACGAATGATTTTTATGCTATTTTTTATAATAAATTTAGAATCTTGTAGGTAATTGAGACATAAAAATATAAAATCTATCCACGCAATTAAATCCTTATTAATATAATTTCACAGTGTTCATCTATCGTTCTAAGAATTCAGCTTATTACAACTTCCGTTTTATTGTTTACATTGTAAAATTACAAATGCGAAAAGTATTGCTATTCATTTGTTATTCACACGTACATTATATTTGCTCGTCCACACGAACGACAAATGACTTGTATACTAATCTACAAATAAAGACATCAATAACCAATTTATATATTATGATGTATTCGTTTTAAACATTTGTATGAGCAATATAACAGTTTTTTTTTAATTGAGGAGTTAAATATCTGAATGCCAGATGAATACCAAAGCCGGCTTCGCTCGCTAGGTCCATAAGGAATTGTTTAGAGAGGTAAAGTGTAGCGTATTTGTTAAATGTATGTTATGTTGTCTCATATAAAACAAATATCTATTGTTTCAAGATTTAAATGGTGTTGGTACTACTGGTCCCTGTGTAGAACTGGCGCGCTTACCCTACACAACGGACGTTAATACGTTTTTTCAATACCTGTATATCGATAAAAACTCAACTCAAAGTCGTCCGTCCCAGAACTCGACGTCAAGCCGAAACGGAGTGACAGCATTGATTGTAACCATTTGAAAATTTAATGGGCATGGCAAAAATTATGGGCATTTAAGAAAAACCTAGAAATTTGGTCGAACTGTAACCATTTTTTGTTTATTGTGGTTCATTTTTATTTTTTGTGTTCATTTCAAATTTTGAACCGTAACCCGTTTGAAGATGTGTTATTAAACATTTCTAGAATCAGTCAAAAATAATGCCACAATTCCCCCAAGTTTCCTAGAACGAAGACTATTTGTTAAACTATGAATTTAAAATTACCAAAATTTGTCGACTTTTATAGTTTCATACAAAAAAAACGAGTAAAAAAAATATCCTCAAGTAACCCGATAGGCAAACTCATTTTAATCAGTTAATTTCTTTTTGCATAAACGTAGGTTACATTTAAGAACTTGACAGAATTTTTGTTCCTATACATTTTACCTTGAATATAATAATAAGCCTTTTTATTTCCATAACGAGTGTGCAAGTAAGAGATTTCCTTGACCAGGAATATCCGGGAAGGTGGATTGGACGTTCAGGCACTATCTCGTGTCCAGCCCATTCCCCATATTTGAATCCCTTGATTTTTTTTTATTAAGGCGCTCTCAAAGAAAAAGTTCATTCAAAGCCCTTCGAGAGCGTAGCCGAGCTGCGTAAACGAATTTCTCGAGCTGTTGAGGACATCAACTGCCGAAGATATGCCCTTATAATAAGTAGATCTTTTTAAGATGTAGGGCGTGTATTGAGGCTGATGATAAGCAATTTGAACTTTTGTTGTAATAAAAAATGTTATTTCCCTATTTAACTTTTATGAAATTTGCTAATGATAAGCAATTTGAACTTTTGTTGTAATAAAAAATGTTATTTCCCTATTTGACTTTTATTTCAATAAACCTAAACTAAATTAGGTCAAGATTTTTTATTTCTTTATACATTTTACTTACTTTTGTTGACTTTAAATTGGCGTTAATACCTGTCTCACTCACTCATGGCAAACATGTCCACCATCCAGATCTCTATTCATTTTGCTGTAAAAATAAGAACCCTCGTGCGAATAAGAGCATGTGCGAATCAAAAAACGGGTTAGCAAATATCGGATTACTTAAGGATTTACTTTTACTCGTTTTTTTTTTTAGTATGAAACTAACAAATATTGTACCATTTTAAGATCCTGATTAAATGCGCCAATTGTTATTGGCACTTGCCAAGGCACTCTAGTTCTTTTTACTTGGAGGAGGGCCTTTGAAAGTCGACAAATTTTGAAAATTTTAAATTCATAGTTTAACAGTCTTAATTCTAGGAAACTTGGGGAAATTGTGTCATTATTTTTTACTAAGATTCTAGTATTGTTATTAAGGGTTACGGTTCCAAAGTTGAAATGAACAAAAATTATGGTTACAGTTTGGCCAAATTTCTAGGTTTCTCTTAAATGCCCATAACTTTTAAACTGCAAGAGAAAGATTTTTTTTCTAATTTTTCTCATGATGGTGACAATCAATCCTGTTTATTTATTTATTGAAACCAACAGCTGGTTACAGTTCATACTTACAAACTTATTTATAAAGCCAATTATATGTTTCTTATATAATTAATTAATTAATTATGTTGATGTTGCATTTAAATGACAAACAGAAAATTTAATGATCAAATCATGATTTTTCACCACAAGTTGTCTACACCCACCCGTCTAAGATTTGATTAAAATAATTCAAACTGACAAACCATTGAGTATATCGATATTGTATAAGAACCCAATTGGTGAGGATAACTGGGAAGTAGTTTTAAAGTTTTTACTTTACCAGTACTAATCAAGCTAATTAGGAAGCGAACATGAAATCATTCAGTATACCTCTCTTAAAAGCTGCTTTACTTAACAAGAAGATATCTTGTTTCTTGAAAGAGTCATTGTGAGTACGAGCGATTCGCGAAAGGACAGTATTTTAGCATAATTAGTGGCATGATATGGAACGTGAAATAGAGGTGTGTGACGAGTCCGACGCTTGGGAACTCGGTATGTTACTTTTGATACTAATAGGTTACAGTCCACGCGGCTTTGAACAATATAATACAAAAAGCACATGTCCATAAGCTTACGTCTGTCACTCTGTTTCGGCTTGACGTTGAGTTCTGGGCCATCCTGTATAGTGGATGTTTTTACTTATGTATAATACAGAACCAAGCGGGCGAAGCCTCTAGTGGAAAGCTCGTTTATTATATTTGCAGTTAGTGTTTCTTTTTATACTGAATTATATTATACGCTTGATATATTTGGTTTGTTGGAAAAAATAACGATAATGCAAAGCGCGGCTAATATTATACAGGTTATCTCAGAAGTACGTACAACTGGCTGTGAGACACGTATAATCAATCAATCTTGTTTTGTATTTTTAAAGAAAGAAACACACATACTTAACGCTTTATGTCATTAGTATAAAGCGATATTACCGTTAAAATTTGACATTCATTAGAGCTTAAAGGCGTCATTAAAACTTAATGGGCGTTTGTCCGTACATGACGTGAATTCAAATTTGGAATCGCTCTACCTATCCTTTATTTAACCGTAACAACAACGATCGCGAAAACTGGGAACATTCCTTTATATTTGATAAATGAGTTAACGAAGTATCTACGTAACATCAGTGGACATTCATACAGATAACACATTATCATGGGTCAGAGGGGAAATTGTCTTTCATCTTTCGGCGCAGACTCCACGAGCGAGAGAATCGCTACGAATTCGCGCTTCTGTCGTCGGGTTATCTCCATGTAGGAGCAATTATTCCGCCAGCGTGTCATCACGACCTATGACAGAATCGCAACACGTCCGCAACGACTCATTGGAATCGCCGCATTTCCTTGAGGATGCCTTGTTCTTTTATTTGTTGAAAGAATTCGGTTAGATGGGCAATGTAACAAAACAGAAAATAAGTAGTGTCTCAGAAAATAAAATATTGTTTTATTATGGATGTTGTTTTAAAAAGCGTAATGACGCTGCGTTTGACAGGGCACTTCCAGTGGCGACGATACGACGACGTTACGCGCGTACATTGCCACTCATATCGTCGTGTGGAGACGCGTTTATAGAGTACATAGAAATATGTGGCACGACAATAAGATCGCCGCGTTTCCCTCGCTCGTGGAAACGGCGCCTATGTAAGTAGGTAGTGTATCATTTAATTTAGACAAACGTACGGATATAAAATATACTAGTGCTCTTCAGGGACCGCTCTAGCGCAATATATTGCCCCGGTCAAAATGACTCTCAGAACCTTATACGCCCCCTGTTGACTTTAACCTATAAAAGGATGTTGGTTAGTGCGTTGGGTCTGCAAAGCGCAGGTTAAGCAAATTTTGCAACGGCCCGTCATAGGATGAAAAGAAAAAAAAATCTACTTCCGTGTTTCGAAAATGCACGTTAAGCTGGTGATCTCGGCTGCTTCAGCAGTTTTGTTTACTACTTTAATATTGTTCTTTTGGTGGATAAATGACTAAGTTGCTCAGACAAATCGAAAAACATAATTTTTTTATCATTCGTTCGTCGTTATGAAAGTAAGGCAAAAATAGGGTATTCTACTCCGTTTGAATCAATACTTATAACTGTTTATTTTAATTTTAAAAAGCCATAGAAAATATTTCGGAAATGTAGGTATGCCAACTAATAACTGTGAATTCATCGGGACGGGAATACCAAAATGGATTAGAAGTAAAACAAAATACATTTAGTAATGGCTGATTTTATTTAAACCTCAAAAACTCCTTGTTAAGATTTGTAATCGATACATGAAAGATCAATAAGATAATAACAAACAGTTCGATTTTCGCGACTGGGTGTTAATGGCTCGTATGATCCAATACAGGAAGCTAACGTACACACCCATAACGCAAAAGGGTTAAGCTTAAACTTTCATAATAAATTCTTAATACTTCATACAAATATAAAAAGACAAGTTATACCGCGACTCAGGCGGCCAAAGATGGCGCTTTGGCCGCCTGAGTCAAATCAAATCAAATAAAT